TAGCATGGCCGTCAGACCGTCATGCGTAAATGATGTAAACAGCCACAGTAAGTGCCATCAAGATGCTGGCGATCCAAGATGATCGTAGTAACGGTGATCGATGCGAACAGAGCTATCGTCAACGGAATCCCAGCCGTCAGCATTCCCGTCCGCTCGTCGAAGCGCAATGCCCGGCGCCACCAGTAGCGCACGAAGGGAAAGCTCTGCGCACGCTTGAAGACGTCATATTTGATGCCCAGCATGCCACAGCTTAACGAGGCCGCAGCTCGAGGCGAAAATTGCTGAGGATATCTGGTTAGGTACCGGGACCTCAATCGCAAGAAGAAGGCCACATGTGACATGTTTCCCCTGTCTTCGGCTTTGCTTTATGTTTGCATGAAAAATGCTGCCACTTCCCCCCCGGATCGGCGCACCGCGGGGGTGGCTTTGCAGCGGCCACCGCTCCCTCGCGGCCAATCCAGCGAGGGGAGCGCTGTGGGGCACCTGTGGACCCCAAAAACTCTCGGCTCCCGGGCAGGGGCTGTGGGTTTGTACATGGGTCTTCTACGAACTGAGTCTCTAAGCCGGGAGCCCGCCTTTACTAATCAGGGGACACACGGTTGTCTGCTTTCTGCGGGCTTGGATAGAACTCCTTCGGATCCTCCTGTATTCTTACCCTCTTACCACTATACGGCCCATAGGTCTTGCGAAGCTGGCAGTGGACAGGATTGTTGTAGATACCTTCTTAATTAGCCGCCGTCTAAAATTGCTATGAAATCGCTGTCGCGCTCTCCAGAACCACTGGCCTGCGGGAGATGATTCGCGCGGGCTTGAAGGCTTACTGCCGGCCACTCCTTTGCGTCTGTACAGGGTATAGGGTCTTGAAGCCCCGTGAGTGGAAAGCGGTAGGAATATGTGTCAACAGTGCGTCAAACATGCCGCACGCTCGAGTCTACAAGACAGGCGAGTCAGGATGAACGACGGCAACAACAAGGGACAAATAAGGGCTCGTAATTGGAAGAGGAATCGGAAGAGGCACGGCGTGGCAAACCACCAAAGAACGGAAAGGAAGTTAAGGCGAGGAAATGCCAGATCACGACTCTCATGACTCATGACAAGCTCCTCTCCATGCATCCATGTATTCATCCTTAAACCCCGATGAGCCGTTGACACAAGAACACGTAGCCGAGTGCGGGTCCTGCCGCCGGGGTTGTCGGAGATGGAGGCGGGCTGTGGTTGTGGTTCGGCCAACCTCGACACGGGGACATAGCTTGGCTTCGGGCTCGCACGTACCCTGCGCCCACACCTTCAAGCAAAACTTGTCAAGGAGTTCCATCATAGCTTGGACGCACCCGTGGTACAGTGGCTTTTGGGACTTTTGGGGCTCTGTCAGTCTCTCACCACGGCTTCCATCACTTGCGCCGTGCCGCACGACTTTCACAAGACAATCTGCCGAAGTAGCATCCTTTACATTCGGGGGTTTTGGCTTGTTCGGCGTCCAGTACGATAGTGTTCCACTGAGTGGCAGCTGGGCATTGGTCCTCTTGAATTGAATTCAGGACGATGTTTTGCTTGCTTGGGGAAAGACTGAGGCTGACATGGAACGGCTCTCAAACAAATCTACATCGACACGCTGCCCCATCCGGCCTGCACTCACGCTGAGGCTGGGCGAGACAGGAGGGCTGATCGTGCCTCCATTGGTCACCGACAGTGTGCAGGGATGTTTGGACGTCAGGGAATAACTTTCTTTCCGGCTGAAGCCTCACAATTACTCCGGGTAGGTGGCAATCCAGGAATGAACCGAAATTTCTAGGGTTAGTAGAGAAATCCCAAGCTTCCGGTGGCAGCTTACACCTCAAGGCCCTCTCCTGAAGCTGCGATCCATCTTGTAACGCTCCGCCCTTCTTCACCAGACAGCACGCCAAAAAGTCACGTATAGGTAATGCGAGTATGACCGCGTAACCGAAAGTTTCAGGCGCACCAACGAATCATTAGTAATCAACCAATACCAGCATGCTGGCTCTTTCCTGGAGCCGCCACTGACGGATCAGCGCTGCCTCGGCTGCCCGAAGTCCAACATCAAGCGGCTTACTGTAACCTTTAGAATAGGGTCTTGGCGTATATTATCGTAAAGCTTTACTAGGACCACCAGAGAAAATCGAATATTGTGCTACTTATTTGTGCTTCCAGACAGCCACCAAGGCACACTACAATGCATGCGCCTCGATCGAAGAAACCCCTCCAATAACCCTGCTTTTCGAAGTCCCGCTGGAAACCACGACTGCCGTGAAACCTTAGTAACTTGCCAACTTCAGGCTGGCCTAGGGTGAATTCCACGAGCGGGTAACGTGTGACATTCGCTGTGCCCCTTCCAACATCAAGACAGTCTGTCACGGGAACATTGCGCAGGATTCGAGCGGGGATTCTTACTCAAAAGCCTCTCCGACAGCAAATGTCTAGCTTGCCACTGTCGTGGTCCATACCGTCGGAAGTTTTTAGGCCCCACTGTCTAGGATCAGGCTTTCTACCCGTAGTGTTTGGATTGGATTCAGCTTATACACAAGTATGTACTCGTACAATGTCAGACAACCCCAAAGTCTGCCAAAGATCATGGCCCACCCAAATGCCGTGAATGACTTCAATCCAAGAAGCTGGTCTCGAGTGGCAGCGGCTTGCTACTGGGCGACTTGTTGCGACCGACGATAAACAACCTCAGCTTTTTCCAGCGTTGGACTGGCAAGTGACGCCCTATCCAAGGCACCAACACAGTCTGCAACCATCGTGTTCGTTATCTATGTCAGGCATCACGATGGAGCAACCACCATACAAAAGCAGAAATGGGCCTGACAAGGTTGGTGCAATGGTCGTGTTTTTGCGCGGTTGAGGGTGCAGGTCCACCGTCTGGCTTGATCTCGGTCAAAAGACCAGAACTACAAACTGTCAGACCTGGAGGTGCATGATGACGACGCCGACGAGGATGATGATGTTTACCGTGGTGGTGGTGGTGGTGGTGGTGGTGGTGGTGGTGGTGGTGGTGGTGGTGGTGGTGGTGGTGGTGGCGGTGGTGGTGGTGGTGATGCTGCTGATGATGATGGTGATGTCTGCCACTCCTCCCAATGGGTTTCGTCCAACCCATTGAGCGGATCTGAGATGTACACAGTTGCTCTTTCTTTGTTGCACTAGTGCTGCAATGGCTGGTGCCCTCGTGCTGCGACCCCAACCACGCTGTTCTGCTGGATGGAGACGCCCCAAGATGCAAGCAAAAGAACGAACTTGTTTTGTTAAGAAATTCCTTCCCACAGGCACACACGCACACACACACACAGACAGATATACACCAAGACAGAGCGAGAGAGATAAAGAGAGGTAGAGAGACAGACAAACGACTATATAAACGAAAAAGATGTACACACGATTACACACGTATACACACATTCACACACATGCCCACATGCGAGAGACCACCAATCATGCACGCAAGCCCGATCAACAACTTCCACTAGCCCAACTTTCCAGGCAAATGTCGAGCGCCACGGCCAGTTGAACTTGGACTCCTCTCGCTGGGTCGCAGAAGTCACGGCAAACAACAAGCAGCTTCGCTTAAGGACATGTGACAACATTGTGTTTTCAAACTGTGTGGGTCCTCCTTCTCGCTGGAGCCATCTGAACCTGGACTTGCATGCTTTGAACTTGTGCGAATATGCAATCGGTGTATGTGTTTGTGAGCGTGTGGAAACAGATCTACAAGGCGATACTAACCACGCTCAACTCCAAACTCTAAACACAAACGACACACAAAAACACTCATACCTAAAGTTCACAGTACATGCATGGTGTCTAGCTTTCTGTCCGAGGGTGAGAGGACCATAACATACCATAACTACCCATCATCTCGCCTCGCAGAATCACTTTTTGCAGATCTGGTTGGCTAGTCTGGTGGGCATTTTATCCAGCAAGTTGCAGAGAAGGATTGCAAAGAAACTATTGACATAACAACAGGCTCGATTTTGGATACCGAAGGGCTGTCTGCCATCAGCTGCTGCGTGCGCAAGCCAGCCTCCCGGGCAATAAGTCGATTGCAGTGTGCTATGCGGGCTGCCTTCAGCGCAGACCTCTCCCTTGAACCGCAGGTAGCTTCTTGGCATCCTCTACTGAAATGCCGTGCTGCTCTAAGCGATACACTCATGTGCAAACGAATTGAACCGCATGATCTCCTACCTCCGAACCCGTGTCTTGCGATTCGCAAGGCAAGCGAAACATAAAGCTAACTACGGTGCCGTGGCTGTCCTCTTTCCTTCTCTCGGCCAGTCGGCGGGCAAGACGCGTGCCCAACCATGGCAGAAAAGTGGCCGATGCATGAGAGAGTCTTGAGCTTGAGTCTTGAGCGAGTGCATTGCCACCGTCAGTCTCTGCATGTCTTCTGTGGATGATCTGTCATTTTATACTCCGCCTAGCATGGCTGATGCGGTTGTTTTTTTCAACAGCTCGCTGCACCAGACCCGAGAGAAAATGTAAGCAGCACTGGCCTCAAGGCCCAGTAGGTTCGTGCTTGTAGCGTATGAAGCTGTTGTTACAAGCAAAAGGTCGGCTCCAATGCTACGCAACGTACTCAAGGAGGCCTGGGCTACAAGCATCACTCCCTCCTGGGCAAGATGAGCTGGTTCGAGCCAATGCTTACCAACACGTTCCAAACACGGATGTGCAAGCCCGCCATGGTCTCTAGATGGACTTGTGTCAAACCCAGGCATGCGCCTTTCCCCTCAGCCGAACAACAGTCAGCAACAGTCGGCAACAGGCTCGACAACATCTCATGCTAGCAGGTTACGATGTCTAGCATATGAAGAAGGTATGTTTGAATAGTGGAAACTCTCGAAAAGTGTAGTTCTGATCCGGGTCTACCAGTGGGAGCTTAATTGTCTCACGAGTATCCTGCAGCCTCGCTACGCGCTCGGGTGCATGCCATATCCGAACTAGGAATCGGATTAATCGGATCGTTGTGGCCCAAATGCTGGGTTAGGCACCCAGATGCCGCAGCTTGTTGCGTGACCTGGAGGCAGGGCTGACAACCTTTCGAAGTCTACGAGCGTGCTTGCTCCAAAATCAAGTTGGCGTCATCGTGGCAGGAGTCATCTCATGCAATTACCACGGGGGACTCTGAAATCGCTCTCCTGACCCCGAACAGCAGAACCCAGTGAGTGAGAGTCGCTTCTAGATTCGATATTGAAACGGTCGAATAAGGTGGAGTGCCAAGGCAGGGCTACATGTCTCGCGAGACGGGCAACACTTTAGCGACCTTTGCCTTGTCTGGCTTCCGCCAAGTTTCCAATCCAGCAGACTTCGATTAATTAGGGCTGAGAGTAGATCGCCGTGCCACACTCAGACAATGTCGCTAAGATTTCAATCCGCTTAAGAGTCCATCAATCTACGTCTGCAAGCATTGACTCTCAAGCCCGAGCAGCAAGGCCTCAAAGCCCAACCCCAACCATCCCCACGATGCCACACACATCAAGGTGCAGATCTGCAGGCGCACAAGGACAAACGCTGCAGCGTCCGCAGCTCGGTGAGTAGCGGTGTCAGACTCTGCACCTTTGGCATGCAGGACTTGGATCGCTCGTGTCTGTGCCGCGACTAAGGCAATGGCTTCTCCTCGCCGAGGCATTTCCAGATGCAATTCACGAGCGGTGGCGGCGGCGGTGGTGGCGGCGGTGGCGGTAGTGGCGGCGGTGGTGGTGGTGGTGGTGGAGGCGACTGTGGCTGCGATGGAGTCTGCATCTGGCCAGCTTGGCTCCTTGCCACGCTTTGGGTCAGGTGGTTCCTTAGTGATGCGCAGGCTCGCCTGTTAAAAGGTTTACTCAAGCCAAGACGAAGTATGCTTCAACGCCTCTTGACATGCTTCAATGGCTGGGATTCGTAGCAGCTGTGCTCATGGCCCATCTAGCTCCAGGACCTCCAAGTCGTCCCTGAGTGCAACTGCTTCAAACATGTTTTTTCCGGCTTTGGCAACAGCTGTGCTGAAACACGGAAAGGGTGTAAAGCGAGGAACTTCACAACCACGGGAAGAATGCAAACATTTTGGCAGAAGCTGACAGTGAAAAGGAACCCCCTTCTGCAAACGCATGTTCACGCACATGCATTCTCCACAGTAGCCTCCATGGGTGCGATGTCGAATCTGTTGACTTTTCTCCTCAGGACCAGTGAGTTACCCGAGTCCGCGGCATATCGCGCCGAGCCACACGCAGCCAGGACATGGCGTTGACAAGTAGCTGGACCTCCGCCAGCGGGAAACCCTCATCCAAGGCCGTTGTACAAGTTCTACGTTTTGAGTTGGAGTAAGCCAGTTCTCTCGACAATAACATCACAAACAACTCTGCAAACAAGCAAGCGACAACTCACGAATGGTGACCTCATTTCGCAGAGGCCCTGGCGCTGCTGTCGCGCAATGCCAAGTCACGCAGCCGAAGCTCTCGGAGTAGTAGGCGCAAAGGCCGCCTCTGAACTTGGAACAAGAAGCAGCTGCATTCTTAAAATGTGCTTGTTGTACAATGCAAAAATGTGTCGTCTTCGCAAATGCTGACCATTTGCAAAGTAAAGGCTTTCGTGATTCGTCGTCCGGACTATGTGTTTTTGTTCATGTGCGAGAGAGATCCCAAATTGCCTTGGCAACTGTTCCACGGACGGCAAATGCACTTCGCAACCAACAGCATTCACCACAAGCCACCGCATGCAACACATTAATAGCACCTAATGCCAGAGCATGTGCCGCGCGTTCGATGCGGCATGCAGGATGTGACTTCGAGATTTAGATTATTTCCTTTTCTTGTTAGGTGTGGGGGGTCATCCCCATGTCGAAGCACAGCAACTGCAACAAATCTACAGAACGACAGGAAATGTGAAAGGTGAATCTCAGCTTCAGCAAAATCATCAAAAACCACGCACGCTGGGCAGGTCTGCTGCACAGCTCGGAGTATGCACGACAATATGCCAACCCTGTATGCACTATTATGCACTGCACGTCAGAGCCTGTCAGCTTTTTTTGTAGGCCACTGTATGCGAGAGCAGCAGTTGCTGCTGAAAAACTTCTCTGAAAATTAGTTGGGAAAGTGCCGTAAAGAAGGCTGAGAAAGTGCAAGGCCTTTGCATTGCAAAGTCTGGGCCTATGCAGCTGGCTAGCTATGTCATGACATGCGGTTGGTTTGACGGCATCCGGAAGGATTAGGACCCACTTCTTACGACGTAGGCATGCGAGATTTGCTTGTTGGCTTTGGGACAGCTTAGACACTTAACTAAACGATATAAAACGTAGCTCTGGCATTGACTACACCTATTAGCGATTCCGCGGATGCCACTCATGTTTTGATAAGGTAATCGATTACAACCTTACACAGGGAGCAGGTCGCTGCAGCACCTTCATGTCATTCAATGAACCACTACTGCTTCTGAAACCTGTGCTTGGCAGCGTCACAGCTCCCTGCTGAAGTTGGCCGCGAAGTTGCACTTCTGGTGCTGGGCATTCAGAGTTGCTCGAAGGGCTCAATGCGCAAGAGACCGAGACAATAAGCAAGCTGTCGACGAACGACCTCGCAAAGGATCAATCGACTCTTCTGCTGCTCCGACCCAACCACAGGGCACTCTGTGTAGAAGCTGGAGAAATCCGTCGCAAGGCCATACATGTGATCCTTGCACGCTTGCACAGCTTGTATTTAGGTTTACACACGGCATCATGTGACATGAACTGTCGATTTGCAACAGTCCCCGCCCGAACCTATTTCTACTTACTCTCTCGCAACTCGACAAACCTATTCGGACAAACCTACTTTTATTTAGTTTTTCCCTCTCGCCATATTTGGTCCTCAGTACTAATAAATAATCATTAAGGGAAGCTACAAATCATCCAGAATCGATACGTATAGTAAGTTTAAAAATTGCACAGACTGGCAGCAAAGCGTCCACCAGCCTACTGGGGAAAAGGTCATCCTCCACTTGTGCAATAACGTCGGGCAGGCGCAAGAGGCGCAAGGCCAGCGCCCTCTCCGGAGCCTCAGTCAACTCGAGGTCGGTTGTAGAGAGGGTGCCTATCTCGAAATCAGCCCGTCTCAGCACTCCTGCAATACGTGCGTAGGCATAGAGGACATAGACCGCGGTGTTGCCCTTGGGATCCAGCATGGAGTCGTAGGAGAACCGGTAATCGGAGTTTCGATTCTGGCGAAGGTCGAAATACTTCACGGCAGCCACTCCTATACTTTCGGCATTCTGCTTCAACTTTGCCTCTTTCTCTTCGTCCAAGACGATGTTGGCATTCTCTGCCCGTTTCCTCAGCTCGACCTCTGACCGGTCCGCGGCTTCGTCCAAGAGGTCTCTCAGGCGGACAACTTCTCCAGATCGCGTTTTGAACTTCTTACCGTCCTGGCCTTGAACCAGCCCGAAACCCATGAAGTCCAAGCGAGCGCCCCCCGAAAGCCACCCTGCTTGCTCTGCAGCGCTGAAGACCATTCGCATGTGAAGCTCCTGGCCGTTGTCGATAACATAGATAACTCGATTGGCATTCTCCTCGTTGATGCGGTGCTGCACGGCTGCACAATCTGTGGAATCGTAGCCAAACCCCCCGTCAGCCTTCTGGACTATCAAGGGCGTCTCAGACACATTTGTGAAGACACACAAAGCTCCGTCACTTTCGGTCACCAATCCCTTCTCTTGCAGCTCCTCAACGACGCCTGGCAGCATCTTGTTGTAGAAAGACTCACCTCGCTCCTGCAGGCCTCGAATCTGCAGCCTGCCATAGACCGTGTCAAACTCTTTCCGGCTCGCTTCACAAATGCGGTTCCAGGCTGTGCGTGCCCAGTCGGCACCACTCTGGAGCTCCACCACGTTGGTTTGCGCCTTCTTTCGGAATTCGTCGTCCTCGTCAAAAGCCTCCTTAGCGCTGCGGTAGAACTTTTGCAAATCGCTGACGACCATGGAGGAAGCCTCTCCGTCTAGTGCCTCCTCCCTCCTCATGTACTCCAGCAGCATGCCGAACTGGGTTCCCCAGTCACCGACGTGGTTCAGACGAACCACCTCGTGGCCCAAGTCCTCGAAAAGATTGGCCATGGTGTCTCCCAGGATGGTGGACCTCAGGTGGCCCACGTGCATCTCCTTGGCCTTGGCTGCTCTCTTCGACCGAAGTACCGAAGACTAGAAGACTGCAGGGGTGTTGCGCCAGAACTTTTGAAGTCCTTTAGACAAGCGACAATGTTGGGAGAGGAGTAGTCGATGACGATGCGCTGAGACAGACCGCTCCGAAGCTGAAGGCCATGGTCGAAGAGCTCTGCCACTTGCCTAGGCGAGAGAGTGTTCCAAAGACAGCACATGTGGCATTGAAGCAGTTCTGACATGTGGATGCACATGTGCATGTGTATGCGATTCACAAAATGCTCTCGAAACCTGGCGGGTATTGCGCCCTCTGCCTCACGTCCGGCCAAGCTAGACTCGACTAGATGTGCGACTTTTTTTGGAGCGCCGAGGCCAAACTAGCCGAATCTGCATCGTCGGAACAGCACCGCCGAGGTGCTTGTGGAGCCACTGTGGGCTCAGCTTCACCGTGATGAAGCCCTGCGGTGCCACATTGACCTCCAACGCATGTCTGCAAGCTGGGAGGTTCAGTGGTCTCGGGCACAGATCCTCTCGAGATTCTTGCGATTTTGGTAATGAGCAGGAAACCCAGATTCTCGCTTTCTGGCGAGTGAGACGCGCCGGCTTCTCAAGTTCAACACGCCACGCAAGTTCAATTCCCTTGTAGAAAAAAGCCTCACGGAACTTGGGCTTCACGATCGGTACAGGGCGAGGGAGGTTGATAGAGGGTCTCGGGCTTGCGGTTGTGTCTACCATCCCGCTGCTTCGCGTGCTCCGGAGGCCTCCTCGAACAGCTCCGAGGCCTCCGCAGGTAGCGCGGCCTTGATCGCCTCGCCAACATCTCCTGAACAAAAGCAAAGTCAGTAAGTCTTTACGTTGCAAAGGCATCAGCTTTCTCAGGCTTGGTTTGGAGTTTCTCGCGAGCGAACAAAGCTGTCCAGAGCCTGCCCTTGCCCTGTGCTCTACCAACCGAGTTGGTCCAGGGACCAGCTGAGGACTAAACAACTACAAAGCTCTAGGGTGTGGGATCTTCGGCATTATCAAGAAGACTCATCCTCTGTGCTGGCAAACTACCTTGCGAGCAACACTCAAGGATTTCTCATAGCTTCAGCAGCAGTTTAAGCTTCTGCGGAAGTGGGGGCAAAGCCTAGTGCTCGGTGGAGGAAAGCACGATCTGCTGCAGTTCTGGATCTTCTTGGAAACTCGTCTCAAGATTCGCTTCGCGCACAAATGTCGAGCGGAAGGCACAGGCGGTCATTCATGATATATGTGTATATAAATGTGTGTGTATGTATGTATGTATGTATGAAATTATATTTATATTCGTGTATATATATATATATATATACACTCTGCATCGCTCACGATGTGCTGCTTTGTCGTTGTGCAGGGCTGGGACATTTCCCTGCAGGTACAGTCGAACACCCGCAAGGCGTGGAATCAAAACCGCTATTGTGCGGAATGAAAACTATCTATTTTTTTGCCGTCCTGTACTTCAGGCAAACACCGCTCTGGGACTGAAAACAAAACAAACTTCAGAAGTCGGCAAAGAGGCGTAGGACAAAACGTGGTGCTCGTGGGGCTGGGTGGCACTATGGTGTCTATACTACTACACTACGGTGCGCATGTCCGCGGCTGCACACAGACCGCCACTGCTGCCACGAGCCCCCATCGCTCTCCAGAAACAGACAGATACTGAATATCGAGTGCCAATGAATGGGTCTTGACTAACGAGACTCTGACGAGCATGTTAGGTCCAGCTCCTGCATGAAACAAGTCAGATAGTCGGAGAAGCGCTTGCGACGAAAGCCTTTGCGTCCAGGTCTCTGGGGCTCTTCCAGCCCTCCTTGCCGCCCTCCTTCTTGCTCTGTTTGAAGAGGCCCATAGCATTGTTGCCTGGGTTGACGGGCGGGCCGACTAGGCTTCCGGGTCTAGTCACTAGTCTATTTCTTCACCTCTGCGGCGTAATCATGGCTTGAGATGCTTCTGAGCAGTGACACCTCAAGGCTGGCCTTCTTTTTCTTTAAAGTTGATGTGCACCCTTTCTCCAAGAAGCGCTGGCATTTTGCCGTCAACTTAGTGAAACTAAACACCCTAAGAGTTTAAGCCTGCGAAGTTTTGCCCAGCTGCACTGGTAGTCACCAAACCGCGGATCCGCTGGCGCGACCATCACCTGGATGTTGCTGCTGATGCTGCTGGATAAGACGTAGCGCCGGAGTATAGTTGCAAAGCCCCTTCGCTTTCAGGCATGTTTCCAGACACATCGGAGGAGCGTTGCTCCAAGTGTTCGTAATTTTTTGTTCCCAGATGAGGGTCGAAACCGGGGTGCTCTAAAGTTGTCTTTTGGTGCAGTCTTTCTCAACTGAAACATGAAGCACACAAGCACTTCTCCTTCTGCTGCCTAAAATGCTATGCTGCTAAAGTTAAAGCTCCTGCTCCTGCTGCTCGCGCCCTACTCGTCCTCCTCCTCCTCCTCCTGCTTGTCCTGCTTATCCTCCTATTACTACCAACCACCACCATCATCACCCACCCCCACCCACCACCCCCCAACACGACGACGCACCTGCAACGGCAGGCTAGGGGCTAGGTAGCAAGGAACAGCCTGACGGCTACCCGAAATCCTGAACCTAAAGCCCAAAACGCATAGCCTACCATTAGATCACCCTGGCCTTGGCTCCTCCTGCAACATCAGCCAGCGCCCTGGCGAAGAAGCCCTCGACCTGGTCTCAGGCAACCCTGTTGACACGGTCTGAATTGTGTCGGGAGTTGTGCGGGTTGCTGGTTCCTGCAGATGATTTCAATTTTAAGAGCCGGATGTTTGATCATTGGGTCTTACGGCGTGCGTTGGATGGTCAACCCGAGCCCGTTCGAAGCTGGAAGAGCTAAAGTCGAGATATGGACGTGCACCCTATCTTCTGATGCGTTGGTCGACAGCTTAGGCTTCCCAAAATCTTCCTCCGACATCCAAATTAGCAGCTGCCGTGCAACAAGCGAATCGACTGCCATCTCATTGATCTTTCTGAGTCTACAGTTTCTGGACTCTCAGGATCTCCAAGCCTTGCAACAGCAAGTTTCCATGAGTAGATACGACGCAACATACACAGAAGGTCACTGCTTGAATGCATCGTTGCCGCCTGGCACGGGCATTACTTGTAGATGACGTCAGGCGAGTTCCGGCAATGCTAGGCATGTTTATGAACACTTATACTGCATAATCATTCCTATGTATGAAGGACGCATAGATAGATAGACACATAGCTACATGTACATCTGTATGTGTATATATATATACACATACATACATACAGTTTATATTGGCATTCATTTATACAAATTGTGTATAAACATCAAGACATACATGCATACATACATACAAACAGATTTCAGAAGACTGCATCCAAACATGAATCGCAACCTGTCCGATCTTTCTCGGGGTTATTAAATCGAAACCTCTGGACAATCGGCATAGCCTGGCTGAGCCCCTCTACAGCTTTGCAAGGCAAGCTCTCAAACTTCATCCAACACCTTTTGCGTATATTAGTCCGAAACTCCTAGAGTAAATGTAGCCCAAACCCCGCAGTGAGGGCCTGCGCTTGGAGACTCGCCTGGCAAAACTCAGGCTGTCAGGGTGGCTCGGGAGGAGATTCTACAGCGCTGATGAGTCACAACGCTTTCCGGGATTGGGAAGGTTGGGGCCGAAGTAAAAGGTTCAACCGTCCAGGAGCATCAGATGTCAAGCCTCCCAGTCCTGATGCTTTGCAAAAGCTAGCTTCAGTGAGATAGTCAACTCTGCCGACTATGCTTCATCTCCTCCTCAAGGAGAAGGAGGCCCATCGGAGTTGCATTCGCCAAATTACGTGGCCCTCCCAGGGTTCACTGAGACTCATTCGCATTTGCCTGAGGCGTTTTGCAAAGCAAGACTGCATGAGCAGCAGTGGTAGGCTTCAGGGAGCGAAGAGAGCGAAGCATCGGGTGGAACACTGCTTTGTCGCGTGCATGGCTTAGCAAAAACAAGTTCTGCTTGGCAGCTTGACACATGTGCATGATGTAAGATCTGTCGTGAGATATCATCATCAGATTCCGGCGACTATCGGGCTTTGCATTCATCCAACGTACAAGCCGCGGCCTCGCTCAGCGTCTTCACGGCAGGTCCTGCTTCCACCGCACTGGCCACGGCCCGGGCTGAGGCCGCAAGTAGCCGGCTGCCAGAATGGTGCAGTGTCGGTGTCGGAGCCCAGGCGGCCACAAAGCCCGGCAAGGCATTCCAGGACCTTCAGCGAGATAGGCAAGCAAGCGACAAGCCCTCAGTACTCTCAGTACTCAGAACTCTCTCTCTTTTTCTTTCCCAGGCTTGAGGGCACGCCCCCACGGGAGCAGCCCGTGGATCCCCTCCACGGGCCGAGCTTGGTGTTGTACTTGAACTATCTCAGAATTCCAAGTGTATCTCCACCACTGCTCACGCCCCGAGTGCCGGTGTCCAAGAACATGTGGTTGTTCCACAACTGCTCTCAGTGTGCCTCCCCCCTAATTCTTTACACAGAGAAGAATGAACTGCACTTAAAACTGCATACTCTCATAGTAATCCGCTCTGCTAACAAACATAGACACGGAGTTCTGGCACTCACCCCCCGTGGCACGCCGGCATCATCCCCCTATATGCATCTCCGTTTTGGCTTCGCTCCGCTTCGCCGGGAGCCCGCGCCTAGGCTCTCTCTCTCCCTCTCCCGCTTCTTCATTGACAAGACGAGGCGCAGTTGGGCCAAGTGGGAGCTCAAGGCCAAGCTCAGGGCCACGAGGGGGCCCGTGGATCGGCGCCGCGCGCGGCCCAGGAGGCGCCAACCTCTCAGGCCGACCATGGCCAAAGCTCTGAGCGCCTTGAGATCCGAAGAAGGGCCCCCCCCCCCCCCAATACTGACGCGATTCCTAGACAACTGCGCTTGTTCTGTCTTCCTGCGACTTGCAGCTGTCCGACTATCCCAACTGACGCCGGTGATTTAAGCACCACGTGTGATGACTAACCACTTGAACGAGCTCGTGGGTCTGAAAGTTGAAAATTGAGCCTGACACAAACATGCAACTTTGAAGTGTACCACTTCCAGCATGCCACTCGCTGTTGCACACCTCCTGCCAAGGACAGTGCGAGAACATGCGAGATTCTCGCTTCCCACCGATCTCAGGGTGCTGCTGCCTCTCCCGGGTGGACCGTGAGACCTCAAGTCAGCAGCAACCCGACGTGAAGCAGAATGTGACCTGCAGATTCAAGAGCAGCACCACAAGCGAAAGTCGGCAAGAGGCACAGCCATGCACAGCCACTAAGTGGAGCAACAGGCTGAACCAAGCAAGCCCTTTGACGCAGATCTAGGGTTTGGAAACCGCGGCGCACACCTGCGCTGGTGAAGATTCGGCCGATGCTGTCCCGGAACCTGCTCATCTTCTACTCGCCGCTCATGTCGGTTCTTTGCTGTAGTTACTCAAGACTCTGTTGGTGCTACTAGCCTTGAAAACTCTTGTCGACTCGTCAGCATCCCTAACCTCAAATGCACCATGTGCTTTATGTATGGCACGATATGGTAAGCAAAGGCAAGGTGCACCGTGCTGATGGAGACGGTCGCAATGGGGAATCTGCAGCCACTGCTTTTCAATCCAAATTAACTACCACAAACCCTAAAGCCCAGCGCTCTAGAGCAAAGATGCATGAAATACCGGGCGCTGCATCCCAGCGCCGCCTCTCCTTCGTCGCCCGAGGCCGCGCGCAAGGTCCTATGGCACGCGAGATCGTCTAAGGCCACGGCCTGTAGTGTCAGTGGCACTCCAAAGAGTGCCCACCGCGGAAGCCCAAAGACCGTAGACTCTCAGAGTCCTCCAGGTGCACGGCGAAGCTCTGGCCCAGCGATCCTCGCACATTTGAAAAGGGGGTTGCTGTTTGCCAAGTACCCATCCCAAGACCCGACACGCCGCCCCACGAGCCTAATTGGGACCTGCTCTCACCGCACATGCTGCAGGTTAAGATCATTTTGACAGCCCAGCAGTCAGATTTGACTTTTCGAAACTTCCCGCGGCACGGTCTCAGAGTGTCAGAGCCTGGAATAAATCACACGAAGCCTCCTCCAACTGTTGAAGGCGGGGACTGTTTGGGTTCTCCCGACGAGTGGGTTGGGATCTGAAAAGCTCGGCAGCCCGTCTGCCTTCCCCTCCTCCGCATTGACACAAGGAGAATCTTCGCACATTCAGGCAAATCCTGCATGCCATCCAGATGCAAGGATTCAGGGCAAGGGACCAAAGGGTAAGGGACCAAGTCTCGCACAGCTCAGATTCCATGTTACCGGATCGGCACTGCAGGCGGAAAGTGCATGCAGTTGAGGAGAAGTTAGATGGCCCGCTTCGAAAGCCTCCTACGTGCACTACTTGTAGATGGCACTGGCCTTGATGCTGAAACTCGGGACGTTCACACTTTGCATGCAAACCAGCTCGGAGCGCAAAAAAGGGTTACTAAATCCTAGGCACCAAGCTGCAACACCTTTGCTCAGAGCAAGTTCGACGGCCATGCGGATTTCGCCACCGAAGTGTATCACAAGTTCGAATCTGCTCCAAAGCACGGATGCCAAAAGTAAGTGATATACAACTTCTTACGGCTCGAACTGTAGTTCCTGCCTAGGCAGCTACGAAATTGAGCTGTCACTGCTACTACTGCCTTCAGCCGCATCGGCGAACTGCCGACAAGAGCTCTCTGAGCGACTTATTGTTCATCAGTCACCCAGAGAATAGGAGAGCTGTTAAAGAAAACACCAGTCGTGGGTTGATCACCTGTTGGACATTGACACTAAACCCTGCAACCCCTACAGTAGTACGCAAACTCACAGAGTGTGTCCTTGCTAAGCTGGGCACCGCCGCTTCGCCGAAAGCACAGCCATCCAGGGACACGTCCAGGACACGGCCTCAAGTCAGGATTACGAGGCTCAATCTCACAGAGTCTCAGCGCCAAGCCCTTCAGCATGAAAGCAAGCCATGCCCATCCTCTCTGTTCCAGTTCTATTGGTTGAGGGTGAGTCATCGGGCTGTCTGTAAGTCCTCACAGCTGTGGCCGGGCTCTGAAACCTGCCCTTCCTCCGGGAGAGATGCTCTACAATACCACAATGGCCGTGCAGCCTGCAACCCTCAAATGCCGTGGAAACCAGCCACTGAGCCAATCGAGTATGTCGCCCGGGTTCCCGATGTTCAGACTGACATGTCGCAGTGCTGCGTCTTACTTTTGACTACTGCGCTTCCTCTCGATAACCAAGTTCTGAAACATTTCAGTGGTGGGAGTAGGCCACGTGCTCGCCATGCCTTTCAACATCTTGATGGAGGAACTGGCATCAGTACTTCATCTGCCACACACAAGTGGGAACCGGACAGTGTGGCGACCGCAGCACCGTGAGAATTTGCGGTCCTGCATCCTTGGTCGGGAAGCTTCGAAACTTTATAATGTGTGAGCCAGTGTCAAAACATTACAGGCGAATCGACAAATTAGTTGATGAGCCATTCTGTGAACTTTCCATGATGCATATCGTTTTCGCTTAACTGACTACGAGTACTTAGCTGGTTGACTAGTCGACTGACGGATTGGTTCATTGGTTCATGCGTTGATGGATGGATGGATGGATGGATGGAGGGAGGGACGGATGCATCGGCTGATCATAAACTGAAATATCGCTATACCTTGTGTCAACTATGTGCTTTTTGAAGTAAACATAAGTCATCACGTTTCATTTCGTTACATTGCATTAAGGTACGGGTACACTACCGTACATACATACCTAGGTCCTGCCTACATACGTACGTACACACCTATGATGCCGCTTGCCTCTTTTTCCGAACGTCGGCGTGAGTTGGTTGCCTTCTGCACCGGTCCTTTGCCCGATACTGAACCTGCTGTACCGAGCATGTCGTTGAATTCTTCTTGTACGCTCTTTGGGACGAATCTGAGGGCTTGTGCTGTCCGTCTCTCTGCCCAGCATACAAGCATCTAGCCGGGAACTGGAACCGGGAACCGTGCCCATCGGCCATAGGCTGGATCGAAGAAAGGCTTCGTGCCTGCAAAAGTGGCATGAAGAGGCCGAGCTCATACAAGCAAATGCGGCTCGTTGCATCAAGACATGCTTCGTCTTGCTGCATGGCATACCATGCAACATGCAACGGAGTGCTGGTAGCATTTAGCCTCACCCCATCTCTAACCAGCAGCAACTCAGCAACACACGCACAAGCTTATTCGGATCAACTCCTCGGTCTGCTGGCCCTTTGAATCTGTGAAGCTGGATCAGCAAGTCGCTCTCCAGGTCTTCTGAGACATCGAAACCGGGGAAAGTTCCAACTCCAAGCTCTTCGTCAACACACTGCAATACGCAAAAATGTCAAGCCCTGCGCGCTTAAACTTCCTCGCAAGCCATATTAGGGATTCTCCCTTATAATTATTGTATAATATACCCCAAAACCCGATTCTACTTATTAAGGCCCCTATATCACCTCTCGCCCAGCTTCGCATAGCCTAGAAAGGCCCTGGCCCGGCCTCCCAACTTCAGGTTCATCTCTGAGCAAGCGCCTGCTCTAGGCAGAGAGCAGAAGTTATGTAGGGGCCTTGATAATTAGAATAGGGTTTTTTGGGGGGGCCCGTTATACTATAATTATGATATGGAACACCCGAAACAAGGCCACTGTGGTAGTTTGCTGAAGCAGGGCTGTATCAAGGTTGCAACGCGTTTCGGGCATGGACATGCTGGGTTCAACCACTCACTTCCAGATCATCAAGCTTGCTCCTGCTGATCTCCATTGACATGGCTCCAAAATTGTCGTGATTGCGGGTGGATTTCGGTATAGAGATTTTAAAGAAACCTGAGTACCAGCAACGGGAGCCTATGCGTGTGCGTGCCAGCTTTCAGGGCGTAAGGGGTTGAGAGTCAAGGGCCTTAGGACTCCATCGTTCTTGTCGGGTGCATATCATATTCCAGCAGTCAGTCTTCGGAAGTGGTGCAAGGCTTTCCATTTAGGGAGCTCTCCTCTTTGACAGGCAGCGGGGCAGTGACTTGTCTTTCTCGCTTCGTCTGTCGGAGTTCATGCTTCAAGTTGTGAAGATGTTTGAAGACGTTGCGCCGAAAGTAAATGTCACGATGATGGCGGCGTGAGGTTTCGGAAACCCATGGAACTCAGTGAATCAGGAGCCCCTTGGAGCGCAACCTGGAGGCAGATGCCCCAGTGCTGACTGCTAACTCCCTTCTGAAAAGGCATGAGCGGCGCGAATCCAGAAACTGTAAAGACTTCTAGACACCGGCTGAAAGTGCGAATCCTGTCAAAACAATTTCGAAGGATGCATTGCCAGTTTGAGCTCTCGTGAGCGGTGGCTGTACTTGTAGCACGGCCACGTCTCAAAACCGAGTTGATCCAAGCATAGGGTCTCTGCTGGTCTGTACTGGTATTCGGGTGCATGACCCATGTCTACCGACCTGCCAGGGACCAGTGATCTGTACAAGAAAAGCGTTGTATTTCAGCCTGTGGACAAGTGGGACCACGCGTCTGTACGTCCGTCAGGCCCGTGAAAGCTTATGAGACCATGAACTTCCTGCGACATGTTGATGGCAATGCTGCTCACAGAATTCAGACAGGGTCCTACAGACTGCTTCATCATTTCGTGGACACTCCACATCCTTGTGCAGTGCAGGAATGAAGCACATCATGCGACAAGCCTGTGATTTGGAAATCCCCGGCACCGCGGCAAGACCAGTTTCAGCATGCCTCCAGACCTCAGAGTCCCGGAAGTGCCAGCCAATTCATGGCTTCCAACAGACAACGATGTCCGCCTTCTGGGCTGAAAACTGCTGGATTGAGTCGTCTTGGGCCTCTGAGTAGGTCGTCAGCCGCATACAACAAGGAGATCTTCTCCTCTGTACACCCAAGCTGCGCCTGGCCTGGCCAGAACTCAGCTCTGATCGGGGTCGCAGCTCACTGCTGCATCTACAGCCGCCATCCCCAGGCCCAGAACCTGTCGAGTTCGGTGGCTCCGACTGCAGCATTCAGGGGTCATGCACTCATAGAGTGCTAAAGTTTAAGGTCTAGCTTGCAATGAGGCACTTATCTCAAGCTCTGGCCGCTCAGCAGCCTCAGCTCTGGATTGAATCCCCATGCGGCGGTACCCTTAAAAAAAGAAACAAGTGGCTAATGCCCCTCAGGACACAGGGCTTCAAGCCTCAGGTTCCCTGTGAATCTGGCATCGAACTGAACTGAGACCGGCACCAAAAGTTCGAGATCCCGTTTTTCGGCAGCACTCCTGGCGCATGGCATCGATCGTCTTCGACTTCGACTCCACACGAAGTGTAATGCATATCTGAGTTTCCGGAAGTCGGGGACCAAAATATCGTACCCTAAATAGTAGGATCCTTATCATAGGGACCCCCAAATAAGGTACCCTGTACCCCTAACTTTCGGAAACTCCCCTATGCGGCCCTATTGCTTTGGTGAGCACCCCGGACCGAGGCTGGAGCTCTTGCCCTTTCAGTTTTTCCGTTCCTCAAATCATACGGACGCTTAGGGGGGTAGGGGGAGGGGCGGCAGGGGACTATACTGCCTTAAGGTAGCGAAAGAACGAAGATGTTGGAACGACTGGTGGGACGACACTCAAGGTTCATCAGCGCCGTGCGCAGGCGTAACCCTCCAAAGATCTGACATGCCTAAATTCCCTGGAGCTGGCTTTATCTTGCTTGGATACAATGCATCATCCTTCTTGAAAATACGGTGCAACAGCGCAGCACCTTGAATGCGTAGAACAATACAATACCACCTTCTTGGGCCGCAAACATCTTGCATGCGAAAATGTCGAACTTCAGGGTACCCATTTAGATATCATCTTGAGTCTTGCCCAGACACATGATCGCCATCCGGGCCACCAACGGTCGAACAGGAAGTCGATGACCCACTCCTGACGACTGGCCAAAACGAGGATGATCAAATCACGGGGGGCTGGGGGCACTTCCACGTGTCGTAATGGTGTACACGTCAGCTCCCATCCCATCCACCAGCCAACAGCAACAAAGCCTTGCTTTCAAGCTGTGCGACCGTGAACCTGCACAACCTTCTTCATTAATGGCGATCACTTACTCGCCAGAATCTATGCCTAGTGTTGTCTCGTAGGGCAAAGTGGAACATTTTCTCAAAGGTATGAGCGCGCGTTTTGTCCATAATAGTCGTCTCGTCGTGGCTTTTATTGGCGGCTAGACATCGCCTGAGGGATTCTGCAACTACCCGCTCATTTAGTGCCGCTAGGTTCCACGAGTCACGATGCCGCTCTCGCTCGTGTTTCGTCTCACGTCTGAACCCACGATGCCACTCACAATCTGGAGCAGTGGGTGCATCGGATGTTTTGTTCACCTGTTGCAGGCTTTAGCCTGATGCCGCGGTACTCGACAAGCGGAAGTGCCGAGCATAGCCTCTTTGCTTTCAAGATCAAGCTTGCTTCGTACCAAGCTGGTCTTGTGATCTGGGCCACTGGAGGCCAGATGCTGACTCTTCCCATACTGCGTCCCACTCACGAGTTCTTCTGCTGCTGTTTGTTCATTCGGAATGTCAGGCAGCAACTTTTGGTGCTGTCTCCCTTGCCATCTCTCTTCTCCGTCTTCTGCTCTCGATCTTGGGAGGATGCTCAGACCTCCCACGTCCTAGGCGCGCCTGCTACGCGGTTGTAGTCGGTAATTAAAACAGAAGGCCCGTAAGTATGTGCTCTGTCTGGGCAGGTCTGTCTGCCTCTCTCTCTTTCTCTCGAGACGCTGCACTCCCAAAAACAGCACATGTACGCGGCATGCATTGCACACACGCACGCGTGCAAGCACGGACGGACCGACATACGGCACAGGTATGCATGTCTGTATGGAGGTCTGCCTGTATGTATGTGAGTGCATGTGTGTGTGTGTGTGTGTGCAGTCTATCTGCGCACACATGCGGCATGCACAAGTGGCTAAACACGTGAAGGCCTGAACTCCCGCCGCAGGACGAACCGTGATCACGGCATGATACAGGCTGGTGCATTCCAAGATGCACATGGTGGATCGAGCAGCGGGAGGAAAGGTACGATGCTCAAGCCGACAGCGCTGGGTCCATACCTGATCATAGTCATTTAGTGTTCCGCGCATGGCTCCACTTCATCGAAAACTGTGCGAGCAGCATGTTCCATGGCCTCGTCGTGAATACGAAACCACCAAACCGCGCACATCGCTTATGCATTCGGGTGGCCGGAGCAGTTTCGGCCGGTTCGTGAAGCGAGGCTTGTCAAGGACGTGCTGCACCTGTGCAGACGTCAGTTACCCTGGCGCCCGGAAGCTTAAAGATGTGACACAGCATGTGCTCCATTCATGGTCTTCTCGTGCAAAACTGATTGTAATGCTATCATTCAACGGCATACGGTTAATCTAGGAGTAGTTGACTTATCCATGCGGATTCATGCGCATGAGCCATCCTGCTTTCCAGTCAAAGCCCGAGCTCCTTCCAGGACCCTCGTCAGCCATCTCGCTGAGTCCTTCCGGAAATCGTACCCACCGTTCCCTACAGCCTGGTGCACGACAGTGTGAATGATAACCTCAGCTTCGCTTCTGCAATCCGGAGTTACTTGAGATACACCTTGGTGGCCTTTCCCCGACAAGCTCGTTTGCCACAGGCGTGGATTGGAGTGGACAGTTTGTAGCCCTATTCCGAAAGAGCAATCACCCCGACCGTTCTCTGCGCTTTCATAGATAAACAGTTTTGATAAACACGTGTTAGCTTGAAGCCTCATTTGAACAGACCCAGGACTCAAACAGTGGACTTCCTGTGTGGTGCCTTGCGAGCTTTCAGGATTCTACAGACATACCTTGGCACTGTTCGAAAGCTGGGACCCTTACTGCAGAGCTCTCGCTTCCGCGGGCACATTGGACTGGCATTGCCGGGAGACTGCAGGCAACGCGAGTGATGCGGCGAATTGGAACAAGGCGGTGTGGGCACAAGCTGCCGCCACCACCTGCGAGGGCTGTCAGGGACGGGTTCGAGGGAACTGTGAAGCATCGACCTTCGCTGGTTAAGGAAAACACATCCTGAAAGCATGCTGACATATCATGATATAGAAGTGCTTCAATTAAGTCGCGCCTCATTGTTGCAGTCCTGCTCCTTGGCAAGCGAAGTCGCGCACAGCCTACACGTGCAAAGACCGTCTCACCTTGTGTCGAATCTTGCATTTATGGCTTGCCTGAACATGCGCAGGGTTACACATGATGAACACCGGCCGTTGTCTCGCCGAGCCGCTTTTTTGCGGTATCCTGCCACTGCCTGAAACACAGAAACTCAAGACGACTGCCTACAGTCCCTACAGGCTCGGGCACAAGCGCCAGTCCGAACCCTCACGCTGCTGCAGGTCACGAAACTCCGCAGACTGCACAGAGGGCTGAGAGCGGCCGAGGGGCTGTCTCACCTGCGCCAACTCAACTGCGAATGAACAACTTGCCAGCAGATGAAATCATGCAGCAAAGTAGAAGTTAGAACAACTTGCCCACTTGCGTCAAGCTCCGTAGATGCAACCCAAGCACCAAGCACGTAGGCCCCTGCAATGCCATAGCTGAGATTGACCTGCCATCGCCTCAGACGTTCAAAGGAACGGGGCCTCACACATGCAGAATTTTGCTCGTGAGCGCCAGTGAAGATTGCTGGACATGTGGATCCGGCTTTGTCGCCTGTTGCATGCTCACTGCCGAGCCCGCAGCTTCAGGACTGGTCGGAGGGACTCCCCGACGTCACTCGAGTATGCGATGTATCCTCGGTCGCAGTCCAATTGTGGGCCAATCCCGGTTCTCGCCATCTTTCAGACAACTCATGCCTAAAGATATGCCAAGGAAGATACCACAACTCCACCTGACACTGGTGAGATTCCCACGCATGAGATGTCTGAGCTCGCTCTGGATGAGTGACTAATGCTTCTCCATTACGTCATATAAACTGCGAGAGGATTGGGCTTAAAGCCTAAGCACAAGACAAACGCAAGACTCTCTCCGTGAGAATCTGACACCCCCAAGACTTGCATCTGCTGTGGACCAATGTTGGTCTTAAGATTTAAATTAAAGCATCCGGGTATCGTGTGGAACTGATGAGCAGCTGCTTGGCCCTGGCCAGGTAGGGTATGTACCTGGTTGTGCTCAAGACCTGAGGGCACTGTCAGGTCTTGGGGGGCCGGCAGACGCAAGCTAGACATCCAGTACTGTACAGCAACTGATATGGCGGATACTGGAACCACCATAGAACGCAAGACACTGCGACAATGATAATTACAGCACTGTAGCTTCAGCCGGTGATGGTACTGGCGATGGTAGTCGGTGGCGGGTGTGGTGGTGATAGTGATGGTTGTGCTGCTGCTACGGCTGCCGCTGCCGCAGTTGTAGTACGGCTGCGATCTCGTTGTTGTGGTTGCTGGCACCGTCGCTGTCAGTCTGGATGCTGGTGTTGTTGCTGCTGCGTGCTGTTGATTCTATTTGTGCCGGGACAATCGGTGGGCTTGGTCGGAAATACGTTTAACTCAGCAGCTTGAGGGGCCATCTCGCTTAGCGTCCACAACTTCTAGTAACTAGTATATCAGCTGTGTTGGAGGACTCGCACTAAGGATGCCATGTGGACTTGCCTTGGCGTCTTTGCTGGCGGAGTCCTTCAATAGCTGGCTGCTCCCACAAAACGACTGCTTTCAACCCTGCTGATGCAAGTACAGTTGCTCTTCCTTTTCTAGGAGCAACTAGCTCTGCTGTCCATTAACTGGTACTGTAACACGGCTTTGAAATATAGCTTGAATGAAAGGGCTCGTGCATGCTCAGTACATGCTCATTTGCAAATGTATGTCTGTATTATGTCTGTGCACATGCAGCAACGCACGTCCGTCTCTCTATCCGTCCGTCGGTCGGCCTTTCCCTGTCTGTATGCATGTATGATATGTATTGATGCGAGAGATGTAGTGTGTGTGTGTGTGTGTGTGCCCGCATGCTTTCACCAAGCCATTGTCGTGCAAATGCTCCTCCTGCCAACCCCTCACGCAAGACTTGACCCGTGAGTTTGGGTTTCGGGCCCAAGTCCGATCTTCTCGCTTCACCAGTCGCTCCTATGCCTGGTCAACTGGCGACTCTGTGTAGATCTACATATCCTAAACCTGGAGTGCTCCGTCCTCAACGGCGTGATGTTGAGGGTTTCGATGGGTCTCGGTGGCATCAAACTGCAGGTAGCAACTGTCCTCCCGCTTCACTCAAAAAGTCTTCGAACAAAATTCCGTGAGCAGATGCAGGGAGCTACTATCGCCAAGTAGAACTGTTCGGAAAATTGAACAGCTCCTACTTATCATTATCATTGTCGAAGATCTGCGAACGCCGTCAGCTGTAGGCTGAAAGCTTACTGAATCGCGTGATATAAATGGCATTCGGACGCGGAATCTGCAGAACATGGGGACAGGGCTCCAGCCTGCGATGCTAGATTGATGCTTCAAAGTTCAAGCACCGGCTTTGGGTGTCAAGTCCAGGATTCATGCTGAGAGATGCTCGGCATGGTCAACGGCCACATTCGTCTACATGTGGACGCGCAAACCGTGCTGTTTGTTCTGGAAACTTCTGCTGACTCCTGGCACTGGATGGGACGACACCAAGCAAGCTGCCGCCAGCCACGGCCGTAGGCCTTGCAACAGGATGGCCGAATGTCGGGAGATCGTTGGAATCACATGTCCAACCCCGCTTGCCAACGTCATTGCCGTCCCGGAAGTGACAAAATGCAATTGTAGTTGTTATTCCCAAAAGTATACTGAGAGCTGCTGCAAAGTAGCTGCCCACATTTTGCTGCTTCAACTCTCCTTGCTTCAACACTCGCAAAGCCTAGCAACTGAACAGCTCGAAGTGGCTTGTCTTCCGAAATCTCAACCGCACGTCGGAACCCGTGGCAGCACTACTATCCACAGCACAGGTGAACCAGCAATGAAATAAATGAGCTAAGCATTCCAACCCAACTCCAACCCTTCCAACAGAACAGAAACCTCCCTAACACAAAGCTTTTATAAGTAATTCTCTGTCTCTCTCTCTCTCTGTCTCTCTCTCTTTCTTTCTCCGGGCCTGAGGGCGAGCCCCCGCGGGAGCCGCCCGTCTTGTCTCTCTCTCTCTCTCTCCTGGGCTTGAGGGCGCGATCAACGCCCTCGGGCATCATCTATATCTCTCTCTCTCTCTCTCTCTCTCTGCCGTGCCATCATTAGTACAGGTAATTAGGCCCCTATATTGCAGCAACGACGGTCTCGCGAAGCCCTGCCCCGGCCTCTGGCCGGATCACACGCCGCGGGCACAGCGTGGAGGGCAAGAGCCCATGCAAGCCAAACTTCCTGTGCTTTCTCCCCCTGTGTTTAGGTTTCGACGCTCACACTCGCACAAGGCAGGCAAGGCTCTTGTGTTTGGGTTTCAGGCTCTTGTGTTTGGGTTTCGACGCTCACACTCGCACAAGGCAGGCAAGGCTCTTGTGTTTGGGTTTCCACGCTCACACTCGCACGGGCAGGCAAGGCTCCACATAGGTGCTTATTGTTATTCCTGAAGTTTGGGGAAGGAGTTAGACTGGGTCGGTTTTAGTTTCAGGAGGGTGCGCCGCAAAAAAAACGAACGTGGGCGCACTCCCTGCGAAGCCCAAGAGCAGTCTTGACCAAAAGCAAGGTGCAGGATGTTTTTCATGATGTTGTTCTGCTCTTACTCATGATCAAAGCATGTTGCATGGGTCATGGGCGGACATGCTCGAAATTGCAGGTCAGGCACTTTCAAGCAAATTATGCTGAAATCAGCGTTTATCATGCTATTATGGGTGGCTTGTCTGCACAGCGACTAAGCGCAACTTTGGGTTCTGAGGCATCCCACGCTTGGAGTCTGGTAATGTTGCCGGCCAAAAATGTGACGACGGAAATCCAAGAGTCAGAGGCATGCAGCGCTTGCAGCTGGAGCGGGCTGCGTATCAGTCTCTCACGAGCAACATCCTTCAACCCGTGCTTCGACAAGCCTACAACACATGCAAAACAGAGACTTGGACTGACTCAAACGTGCACACTCACTCTAACAACGACACCCTTCTGCAGGTGCATTTGCAACTTGATTGCGGCTCTGTCTGAATCTCTGCGGCTGAAAGGCAGCTGAGTCGGTGTAGTATCCATGGCAGCTATACTTGTGGCTATGATCGCGAGCTTCAGGACAGTGTTTAGCTACCCGTGCAGCAGGTTAGAGATCCGCTCAAAGTTTTGCATTGCGATGCTCTTGTCTCTGCAGAAATGACTACATTCAAGTCTGCCCAAGCTGTACAATGGCACATGCGTCACTATGATGGCAGGCTATGCACCGACAGGCTGCGCTTCATGCACCATGCGACCAAATCTGTCAAGCAAGATTTTCGACTTCGAAAGCTACCAATCCGAAGTTCGGGTATCTTCAAAGCGGCGGGTGCCTGCTGAACACCCCGTAACAACCCTAGGAGCAATAACTGCAGAAGAGTCTTCAAACATCTGCCAAGCCCGCGTGCCTCCGGAATCGGAGCAGCTCAGCTCAGACTCAGCAAGCATTGGCGGTGGGCGGGAGGGTAGCTTCGAGGGCTTTTGGTGTGGGGATTCTGTTGTAGACTCTTGTAGTTCCTGGGCTCGACTTTCGCAGTGCGGATAGGACAATACAGGAGCGGCGACGAATAACTCTCCCAACAAAGCACCTCTGTGACGCCGACTGGCCCACTACATGTCTGTACTCGTATACGTTTCTTTTCGTGCCGTAGTCGCTCGATTTGTCACTTGTGACAGAGCTTTGGCTTTGGTCGAGGACTCATGCACTTCAAGGGACTCCGAGACGGGCAGGTGATTCAAGACTGGACGTCTAGAGAGTACCTGCTAATTACTATGACCTCGAACCTTCAACGATCTTCACAACTACCCCAGGCTCTCCCGGCAAACCTTCCTTCGCAAGTCCTTGGAGCAACAGGGAGCCTTGCAAACTTTCAAAGTTTGTCAAGCCCGAAGCCCTAGCTCTCAACCCAGCAACCCAGAATCCGAAAGCACAACATCTTGGGTGAAGCCCAAAACGCCCCTGGCCTCCAGGTTGTCCGGCGGCTGCAAAGCAGAGCCCAAAGCTCGACTGCAGGCCCTTGGTGCGTCGGTATGTATGCATGCGAATATGTATGGTGTCTGTGTGAGTGCGCATGTACGTCTGTATGTCTCTGTGCTTGTATGTCGGTATGTAGGGCTGTATGTCTGTGGCATGAATGGCACAGGACTCAACTGCCGCATGCCTTTCTTCAGTGCGGAAGGCCTTGTTTCAGTGAAGTGAATTCTCGATGGCGTGTGTCTGCAGGCCTGTATGCCTGCATGTGTATGTGTCTATGTTTGTGTGTATCTGGTATGTGCATATGTGTAGTAATACGCGTATGTATACATGCACGCATGTCTGCATGTATGTATGTACGAGTATATGTATATGGTCACATATGCTCTCGCGACTCGGACACAGCCAGACGAGGTCTCTCGGTTCGCATTCGTACTGCTCTCATGTTCTCAGGAAGTCTCCCAAAGACAAAGACCCTGTAAAACACAACGCAACATGGTGTTCCCCCCCGGAGAACTTCCGCGGGCATACGTTGATCTCTGCACTGGATGAGACAACTCCCGAAGGGACGTGCACGGACTCCTGCGCAGAACAGGCCTAACCCGATGAGACCCAGTCCCAGGCACACTCCAAACGTCGTCAAACTAAGCCTCAGACTGTTTGCATGCATGCATGCCTGCGCATGTCTATGTCTTTCGTTCTTTCGCCAGGGCTATGGTGTAGGCGTTTTACCCCATGTCTATGTCTCTCTCTCTTTGCTTTGCTTTGCTATGCTCGGGGTTTGAGGATCTCTCTCTCTCTCTCTCTCTCTCTCTCTCTTGAGTGTGTGTGTGTGTTATATGTGCACAAGCGCGGACGTGTGTATGTGTGCGTGTGTGTGTGTGTGTGTATGCATGCATGCATGCATGCATGGAAGCATGGATGCACGGACAGATGGACACACGGAGGGATGGATGTGCCGAATGTCTGTATGTGGGCGTATGCAGGTGGATATGTATGTTTGTGTACCCCTGCCTAAATCCTCCAACGATTACACATGCGGGGAGGAGAAGTAAACTCGGAAGGTTGAGGTCCAAGCCGTTTAACACGGGGGAGGGAGTAGGAGCATATCCAGAGAGAGAAAGAGAGAGAGAGAGAGAGAGAGAGAGAGAGAGAGCAAGCGAGCTGGCGTGGCCAAGTGGGGGAAGGTGGAAGGGGGAGTCGCCAGGGCGCAACCGTGTCTGTCTGTACTGGTGTATGTCTTTGTAGGCATATGGACCTTGCATCGTTCACATAGTATTCCGAACGTTCAGACTTGCCAGGGTTAGCATCTCGGATGTTTAGTTGAATGCGCCCGAGCGTGCTCGGGAAATGTATATAGTATATAGGCCTGGGGTTGTCTTGGACTAAAACTGGCTCCTGTGGGGTTTGCATGGGCATGTCTTGGCGGCAAGTTCATGGCACCTGGCAACCTGCTTGGGCCTGGGAGCCTGGAAACATAGATTGATTTCTCGTCACCTGTTTCCATCTCGCATCAACAACAGACGGAACTCATGCCAAACAACTCACAAGCTCCACTCAGTGCGTCTGTGTCTTGAGTTCACGGCACACGTGCTCGCAAAGAGAGTTAATATCTGGACTGACATCACGGAAAACAAGATAAGCAATGACGTGGCATTGCGCCATCTGCAGCACAGAACAGATGCAACAGACGATCAAGGGCGAAGCTTCCCGTTGCGCCGTTGCGAAACGTTGGTGCCAAGGATCGTGGAGTTGTCTTTCACCATCACGGAATCTTGGCCAATACAACAGATTGCGAAAGTCTGCCCGTCTGCTTCAGGTGCTGTACTTCTGCGCTCATGGCAGGACCGCTCGCCAAGAGAGTTAATTGCGTCACATCACGACAGACGTTGTAGCCACGGCGCTTCAAGGCACAAGCACAGATGGCGCTCAGGCTTCATGCGATACATTCCTTGCGTGTCGGATACACATGTCGGAAAAGAGCCCGGTTTCATGGAAAGCAGTGCTCCATGCAGCGCAGCACGAGATGATCGACCAAGCCGACACAAGAACTTAGACAAAGACTCTTATCGGTCTTATCGTCTGTCAGAGCCCAAGCAAACAGTGCACACCATGCTCTCAAACAGTCGCAATGCATCGCAAGGTGACACAAACTCTTTGTGCCGACTTGAACAAGCGTTGCTACACTTTCTGTGCGATGTCAACCCCCCCACATACACGCACAAGCCAGAAACACCGCGCACATCTGCACACGGTACCACCCAGCTCCACTCAGTGCGTCTGTGTCTTGAGCTCACGGCACACGTGCTCGCAAAGAGAGTTAATATCTGGACTGACATCACGGAAAACAAGATAAGCAATGACGTGGCATTGCGCCATCTGCAGCACAGAACAGATGCAACAGACGATCAAGGGCGAAGCTTCCCGTTGCGCCGTTGCGAAACGTTGGTGCCAAGGATCGTGGAGTTGTCTTTCACCATCACGGAATCTTGGCCAATACAACAGATTGCGAAAGTCTGCCCGTCTGCTTCAGGTGCTGTACTTCTGCGCTCATGGCAGGACCGCTCGCCAAGAGAGTTAATTGCGTCACATCACGACAGACGTTGTACCCACGGCGCTTCAAGGCACAAGCACAGATGGCGCTCAGGCTTCATGCGATACATTCCTTGCGTGTCGGATACACATGTCGGAAAAGAGCCCGCTTTCATGGAAAGCAGTGCTCCATGCAGCGCAGCACGAGATGATCGACCAAGCCGACCCAAGAACTCAGACAAAGACTCTTATCGGCCTTATCGTCTGTCAGAGCCCAAGCAAACAGTGCACCGACACCATGCTCTCAAACAGTCGCAATGCATCGCAAGGTGACACAAACTCTTTGTGCCGACTTGAACAAGCGTTGCTACACTTTCTGTGCAATGTCAACCCCTACACGTACAGGCACACGCCAGAAACACTGCGCACATCTGCACACGGTACCACCCAGCTCCACTCAGTGCGTCTGTGTCTTGAGCTCACGGCACACGTGCTCACAAAGAGAGTTAATATCTGGACTGACATCACGGAAAGCAGGATAAGCAATGACGTGGCATTGCGCCATCTGCAGCACAGAACAGATGCAACAGACGATCAAGGGCGAAGCTTCCCGTTGCGAAATATTGGTGCCAAGGTTGTAGCCACGGCGCTTCAAGGCACAAGCACAGATGGCGCTCAGGCTTCATGCGATACATTCCTTGCGTGTCGGATACACATGTCGGAAAAGAGCCCGCTTTCATGGAAAGCAGTGCTCCATGCAGCGCAGCACGAGATGATCGATCAAGCCGACCCAAGAACTTAGACAAAGACTCTTATCGGCCTTATCGTCTGTCAGAGCCCAAGCAAACAGTGCACCGACACCATGCTCTCAAACAGTCGCAATGCATCGCAAGGTGACACAAACTCTTTGTGCCGACTTGAACAAGCGTTGCTACACTTTCTGTGCAATGTCAACCCCCCCCACATACACGCACAAGCCAGAAACACCGCGCACATCTGCACACGGTACCACCCAGCTCCACTCAGTGCGTCTGTGTCTTGAGCTCACGGCACACGTGCTCACAAAGAGAGTTAATATCTGCACTGACATCACGGAAAGCAGGATAAGCAATGACGTGGCATTGCGCCATCTGCAGCACAGAACAGATGCAACAGACGATCAAGGGCGAAGCTTCCCGTTGCGCCGTTGCGAAATGTTGGTGCCAAGGATCGTGGAGTTGTCTTTCACCATCACGGAATCTTGGCCAATACAACAGATTGCGAAAGTCTGCCCGTCTGCTTCAGGTGCTGTACTTCTGCGCTCATGGCAGGACCGCTCGCCAAGAGAGTTAATTGCGTCACATCACGACAGACGTTGTAGCCACGGCGCTTCAAGGCACAAGCACAGATGGCGCTCAGGCTTCATGCGAATATTTCCTTGCCGACACGTATGTTGCAGTCTCGAAGGTCGTTAATACAAACGTACATGGAACAGGCAGCCTTGCTCGCAAGTCGGCATTCATGTGAGGCAACCCTTAACAGAGCGGAGTAAGAGCACGATCGACCAAGCCGACCTTAATTTGGAGATTAGTGCAAGCGTGCCTGATCATTGGCATGCACGTGACTCCGTCGCTTAAAGCCATGCTGCAGCATGTACAGGCGAGAGAGCGAGAGAGAGAGAGAGAGAGAGAGCGAGAGAGCGAGAGAGCGAGAGTGAGAGTGAGACTCAGAGTGAGAGAGAGTCAGAGAGTGAGTAAGACTTTAGAGAGAGAGAGAGAGAGAGAGAGAGAGAGAGAGAGAGAGAGAACAAAAAAAGAGACAGAGAGCGAGGGAGAGAGAGTGAGTGAGTGAGTGTAAGAGATCGAATAACATGCAGAGAGACAGAGACAGAGAGAGAGAGAGAGAGTTAGAGAGAGAAAAAAAATGTGACAGAGAGAGAGGGCGAGAGAGGGAGGTAGAGTGAGAGTGAGGCAGAGAGAGGGAGAGCGAGAGGGAGACTGAGTGAGAGAGAGAGAGAAGGAAAGACCAACAGAAAGCAAAACAGAGAGCGAGAGAGAGAGAGACAAACAGAGAGCGACCAAAGGCCTGTAAGTGCGGGCAGGCAGGGCGTGCTTGTGCAGTTGCAGGGACCCAGGCTCGTCCGAGACTGCGCTATTCCCTGAGATGTCCAGGTCCATGATTTGCCGACCTTGAAATGGAAACCAACATGACCAGCGCAACATGTGTGCTACGAGGTTCCACATGATAAAACCAACATATGATAGGCTTCGAAACCCGTTGCAGTGTGACCAAGATGTCGGCCCACGACGCTGCCCAAGAAAATCGCCAGCCTCAGTGCAATGACAGAAATGAAATTTTGAAGAACCACCATACTCATCTGATGCTACTCTCTACTCTGGAGAGAGCTTTCCGAACACGTAGTTCAACTTGCAATGCTCGGCCGTAGACGGCAAATTCAAGCTCTACATGCCCAACCTCATCGTGATGAACTTAGACATCTGGCTCCTCGAATGCTGCAGTTGGCATTGCGTTCCGAGCCAGGTCCAGCCTGACGTCGCCATACGGTTGTGAAGATGCCACAAAAGCGCGGTTCGACATGTTCCAGAGCCCTCTCTGTAGCCTGTATCAAGGTAAGCCTTGGTCTCTCAGGAAACCCCGCATCAGCCTCTGAAGCGGCAAGTGGCTTCCAGTGGTGGCCAAGCATGCACACAGCACCTGGTCACAGCGGGGATACGTATGCTGATATCATTGCTCGTGAGGCCCCGCAGATTCGTGGGACATGTGTTGCCTAAACTGAAAGCGTATGCCGTCTGTCTGTCTGTCTGTCTGTCCGCCCGTCTGTCCGTCCGTCCGTCCGTCTGCAGTCTCTGCATGCCGGCCACACCCCTGCGCGTCGATGGCTGGATCCTTATTTGGTCCGGAATCCCCTCCTCGTTGTTCTCCCAGCACTGCAGCAGGTGGCATGCTCAAGCAGCTGTTACAGCATATGCGCGGGAAGTAATCTCTGGCCTTGTCCCCTTACTGAGAAGCAGAAGCAGCAAGTTTTCCCTTCTTCCACGCGACAAGAAGGGCAGGTCATACCCCTCCATACGCGAGCATGCACTGGGCTGTTCGGTCTGAGTCGAGCAGTAGCTGCGCAGAGATGATCACGCTCGCACACGCACACGCACGCGCACACACACAGACAAACAAACAAATCGTAAGACCTTGTCCAGGCTCGCAGCTGAGACGATATAGACCCTGGTTTCAGTTCGTATATTCTCTAGGCACAAGAGGAACACCACGAGTGCACGGCAAAACAGAACTGAGTTCAGGCACGCCGGCAGCCTCTTTCAGGTGACAATGCGCTAACCTCGGATGGCCACGACCGAGTTGGTTGGATGGGGGATATATTACGGACAGTTGCTACGGTGATTGCTCTGTAAAAGTGCATGGTTCGAGCGAGCATTTGCTAGAGGCGCGTTTTGCCGAAATTGCGACACATTCCCCCACGAGCAGTTCTATGCACTCGCCGAGAGATGTGCCGCAGCGTTCGCAAAGTGACGTTCTGGCCTGGATGCAGCAGAGGGCCGGATGTGGGGAGATGCGCTTCGCACTGCTGGCATGTTATACTCTAGTTATAATAAGGAACTCCCGAAGTTGGGAATCATGTAGGCTCCTATAGTACCCCGACTTTTGCGGCCAGGGCTTCGATTCTCAACTGAGAGAACCGATTGCCCCCGTCATGTTTGCAGCTTGCCAGGCGTCCCGCGCAAGTGCCAGCTGAGCTGATGCACCGCATTCGGACCTTCAGTCGTGCACATATCAGTTTGACCCGAAACTGCAGCTGGCCATGGTTGTGCACTGAGTGCAGGTACCGAGGGTATTCCAGGACAGATCCAGCTCGGTGAGGGTGCAACACTGACTGGCCTGGCACTGTGCTCCAAATGTTGCGCTAGGCGAAACACCACTCGCGCACGCTAGGGTATCATACCCGTTGACACATGAAGGCCCATACGTTCCAGAGAAGTGCCACAGTCGCACTCTGAAGACTCTGAAGCCCTTAGCCTTCGATCTGAAGGGCCTTGGTGCTCGATGCCCAAAACTTGACAACTTACTCTCCAATCCTGAACTGTGCACAGAAAACACAGGTCAACGAACAGGAAGCCCCCCAGTCCTACTACGACTGCAGATCCTTGCCCTTCAAACCCCAAGCGAACGTCTTCAAACAGTTAGGCCGTAGATCTCGTTGCAAGCAGGTCGGGCTGACCAGGTAAAGTCCCAGCTCCGGCACCTTTGCATCTCAGGGCTTGAGGCTCGAAGATTCCTTTAATTCAGATTTCTTGTGGATCTTGGGACTTGGGCAAAAAATCTTCGGGCGAGGCCTACAGCCCAGCAGCTGAGCTGCCGCCCAGAACAACTCGGCACGGACGACGGCCATATACACACTCAACAGCAACTGGTGACGCGAACTCGTAACCTGTCCTTGCTCGGTGAGCAATCTAACTGCGCCATAATAGGTTAAGCGTATAGAAACCGTAACCCTTATGGATATCCTTATGAAGCATTCTTTTCCCACCCGGCCAGCTGACTAAGTCGCACCGCAGGGAGTGCGTCCGAACTCAAGACGGGACACTGCGCCAAGTCCAAGGTCTCAAAAAGATCCAAACTGAGAGAGACCAACACCAAGCACGCAACCATACAGCCGAATGGATCTTCCGGGAGCTGAACTCGCATAGTCTAGGTCCAGAGTTTAGACTTAAGATGAAGCTGCTCTGAATTCTGAATATGAAAGTCTCTTTGATGCCAGCAGCAGGCTTTCTTGAACACTCCAGATCGCGAGAGGGGCTTAGGCTCACGCGGCAGCATCCACGGAGCTCGCTGCGAGCTCCAACACCTGGTGTCGTGCAAGGGCCGCACAAAAGTGGTAGAGGGCTGGGATTAAAATATGCAATAATGATTCTTGGGACTACGATAGGGGATACTATTTCTCTTTGTCATCTTAGTTCGCCTCTTCGACTTGGTTCACTTGTCGATTTGACTCTTATACCTGTGTTTCGGGCTGCTTCGGGCTTCAGCGTCAAAGCCCTGAGGCACAGTCTCGCTGAACCAGCCCGCCGTGTCATCCCGGACGGAGACCAGCTGCCAAACTTGACATTGGCATATCTAGAAGCCTGAAACCCCAGGATCATCATCACCATCTCCACCCATGACCGCAGACCATCACATCCCGAACTCACGCAAACCTGAAAGCAGGATCATGAACCATAAAACTAGCACAGTCGCACGCACTCCAAGGGCCTGTAGACCGCGAGACGAACGAAGAGCCCCGTTGGTTCCGGTCGCTTGCGGCCTTGAGCTCATTCCATAACTGGCTTCTGTTTGGCGTCTGTCTGAGGATGTGGGTTTTGAATATTGAAATGGCTCGTTGATTAATGGCTCGTTGACTGAGCAGCTTTTTCTCTGCAATCCTTAATCTTGAGGCATGCGCTTTACGTGGCGCTTCGACCCTACCGGCACTTGAGCACAAAGAGTCTTGCTGTGCAGTGAGTGGGGTTAGGCCTGGAGCTCAGTACCGTCTCCGTTGCCGACATCCTCAAGTTGAAGAGAACCAAAAAGCCAGTCCATGCAATGCCACCTGCTTAAAATTAAAACGAACCCACATTGACACTGAATCTTACAGTATCTCCACCTACTCTCCCCTGCGGTGGCGAAGACATCCGACATCCTGACTTCCTCTACAAATGCTAGACCCAACAATGCGTTGAGCGAGCAAGGTTCCCGTCGTTCGGTGCTAGAGCCAGGGAATGTGCCTCCCTCCGCGTACCCTGACATCATGCACCGGGACTTAGCGAATGAACATATTGCATTTTGATCTTTGCCGACTTTTGCGCCTTCCTGGCGAAGACATGTCCTGCCCCTGAAAACGCCACGATTTCCGAGCAGCAGACGGCCATGCTGGCACTGGGGTCTTTGAAGGAGAGCTTGACTGCTGAGCATACGCACTTCCTTGGGCGTGATAGTGCATTCGTATGGCCGAGCACAAATTCAGAAACATGTTGGGCATTGTTGGGCAGCGGGTTCGTCAGCAACCTCGTCAGAAAAGAGCATATCTGCTGAACCACAATGAAAAGCTGACTGAAGCTAGCTGTGCCCAATGGAGCACCTGACTACTGACTCACTACTGCCGACCCCAATTGAAAAAATGGGTGCCTGAGTCCTCACAAGCAAACCTGGCACAGAACCCTCACATGCTCTTTGGCCTCAAAGGCACCACCGAACTCAAACATGCAGGCGTGGGCCTATGCATCGACGACTGAAAGACCTACCAGTACGTCACTATCAGTTGGCTCTGAAGCGACACACCTGCCCCATCTATCCAAGTGTAGATAAACTTCAGCGACATTCTCGAGAACAGCCCAGGTACCTACGCAACGCAGTGCCCAGCATGTTTTTCGCTCCAATGAACCCAAGACCTCAGACTTAATTCCCTCTCTTCTTAGCAGCTCAACGCTGCAGCCTCAGTCCTCAAACAATGAACCCAGAGACTCCAACATCCCTTGACTCAGGAATACTCCTTAGATTATAGTAGGATCCCTTATATGATGTAAGGAATATTCTTTAGTTAAGGAATATTGGAGTCTCTGGGAAGAAATCCTGAGTGCCAGGGCCACTGGAGGCGCTAGCGGCACTAACCCGAGAGGGGTCCACCTCCCAGGTTCCGATGTTTCTTACCTTTGGTTAGTAGGGAATGGAAGAATGGTAGTAATGGTAGTTATAAGCTATAATTGTACCCCATTCCTCCATTCCCTACCGACCAAAGGTAAGGTTTAGGGTTTACGCTCTCGCAACCCGGACAAGCCAGACCAGGTCTCTTGGTTCGCATTGACAACAGGTTCGTTTAGGGTGGGAACACTTGTTCGACTTCTTGACAAAGGGCTTTTGTAATTTTTCCCCTCCTACTTAGCAAGGAAATGGCCCGCAGTGCAGGGTTTTGCTTGTCAGGGCTTGGACGGCTCCATGGCTCTCGCAGACATTCGCATGCTCGGAAACATACCGGCAAATCGCCGGTGAAGGTAACGGGCAGGACACTAACGAAACTGGCTCCATTCACTGGAAAGCTTTCCCGCTACCCCAGTTTGTTCTTTCATATCAAGTAGATCCGCGTCCGCCTTAACATCCAAAAGGACTACGATGCGCAGGTGATTTTGCAAATCTGTAGATCCGTCAATCGTCATCGGGGTGGCGATCTTAGTTTTCCGGAGGCCTCGCCATTGTCTTTCGCAGCTGGCAAAGACAACCTTCCCAGAAGTGTCACATCGGAAACCCGCACCATGCATGATCCACAACCTACACTCGGCTGAGGGGCAGCAGCAATCGCACCAGAGAGAAGGCATGTTCGCAATGATCCGGGTTTGAAGCTATTCACATTGCTTGCTTGGTAAACAATAGGTGGGGCATTTCTGATCATCGGCATAAATCGAAAAGCCCTTGCTGCTGACACTTGGCACATTGATTTTACCAGATGTGATGCTTGATAGCGCGACACAGACCGCGTTTTCTTAGACTCCTCTGCTACAACCTTCGCTGATGGTTATCAGCTGCATCCAACGCTGAGCACGAGCGCCCGGCCAACGATCGGTGAGAGCTTCAATGGTGGCTTTGACACCTTGCATGTCGAGATCATCTACTGTAATCCACAATAATATACCATCACATACTGCATCAGGTCTGAAGTCACACTGAGAAGACATACAGTGGCGTCACATACTGGCTGAGAAAGCTGATCGAAACATGAAGGGGACGCCTACGGAATCCTTAAGAGACTCCTCCCAAGCTTTCCCGAGGCCGAAAGATCCCCCAGTTTTCACCCGAAATTTCAGCCGAAGCTTTCAGACCGCAGAAACACAAACACACACACGCGGAGCGAGAGCGAGAGAGAGAGAGAGAGAGAGAGAGAGAAACAGGAGAGACAAACAGCGCGAGACAGAATCTATGGCTGTTGTCAAGAAATGGGTTTGGCCGTGGATCGTCCTTTGTCATGGTCATGACGATGATGACGTTCACTATCACGATCACCATCACGCCGTCACTCAAAGAAGGCTGCTGACTCCCAGTGAACAGATCAGACAAACAAAAACTTGACAACGACGCGGGGCGCGCTGGGGAACCACACTCCCTCGGAGAGCTGTGGGAGAGCCGTTGGGAGGCGTTTCGCGCGCGCGTGGAACCCCCCCATCGTCGGTTTTCATGTTACCAAATTGGCATCGGAAGACCGACTAAGTTGCAGAACTGCTAGATGCAACTAGTCATGTACAACTTGGGTCCGCTTTCAATCCTGGTCGAGTCGTGGAAACCACGAAAAGGAGCGGGCCTTCGGCGCTCAAGCCTGCACTGCTGAGACGCAGCGTCCTGATCTTTGGGTGGCCAAGAAGGATGCAGAGTTTATGTAGGGACGCAGGAGCGCAGTTCTCAGACAGTTTGGGGGCTCTTCAGTCTGACGTCCTACCCCTTCTCTGGCAACATACATGTGCAGATATGAATGCGCATCAACAGAAATCAAGACCTTGTCTGCATCATCTGGTTGAGTTCATGCTGAATTCGCGGCATATAGCCGCAAATGAAACAAGAACCGCAACAAGAAGCGCCGCTCTGGACATATTGGGCCTCAATACTTAGACTCTACCCAGGGTTTGGGCACATGATAATGAGCCTAAATACTAAACGCTAAAGACTCTAAGAACCTGGGAAGCGGACCGTAGCTCAGGCAGCTGTCGCAGAAGCGCCTTGGACCTGGAGCAAGCCTAGTATATCAATTATCGCATGTTCTGCTATACTCTCGCATGTCAATGTGATAGTATATATTAGTCCTAATATCAGATTTTCATCTATATTGTAGAGCCATTATTATTGAAGTAGACTTTTCGACATCTGCGGCTGAGGCCTGCCCGCGCAGGCAGAACAGTAGGGCATTTGTGCAATGCTTTTCGCACTTCTCCGCAACTCATGTCCATCAGCGGCGCCCCAGAGCTGGAGCAAGGCTGTCACTTACATTTCCGAAGGATCCATTCCTCACCTCTCCCCGTGGCCTTGTAAGCCAAGCCCAAACAAGGAAACAAACCTTGGGTTTACATGTGAATCCAATAACCTACTATTCTGCACGGATGTGGGCTACACGTATCGGACATGAAGACCGGGATGATGTTTCTTTGAGCGTCCCGTTTACAGAGTTCGGTCGCCGAACTTGCGTGTGCTAACTTTCCTGTTGGTAACTGCCTATGCGCGTTGAAGCTTGATCTACATTTTTCATGTGCACCATGCCTGAAGCCTTAAGCCATAATTAAAGCTCCAAAACCAAGATCAAATCTTAACAAGCTGCAAGTCCTAATCGTTTTGATATGATGACACGCAGGACTTTTGTCTGCCTCTCGTTGGCGTGTAGCAGAAACCGCACCCTTCAAGGCTGGAAGCACCAAAACTGAAACGAAGTTGTGGGCCCTGCCAGCTTGCGAAGCTCCGGAGCCCGAGGTTTTGCATTAACCAGCGGGGACCCCTGAATCGGCTGTAGCTGCCGAGCTTCTGCTACAGCGCGAGAGAGAGGCCCAGCTCCGGTGGAACGTAGCAGGTGGATGTTGTCAGTTTTTTGTCCAGCACAACATGGAAGCGGTGCAGGTAGAGGTACGAGCCTAAACGCTTGTCTTGTTCTGGGTTGTTTTGCAGTTCCGACGAAGGCAGGACTCATCGCAAGACATGAGCATGAGTCCTAGACCGTGGCGCATGGCCAAGATGCGTCGCAATCACAGGAACCAGCACGAAAAGCCCAGGCAGAACAGAAACTACATTCGCGTTGCCGCCTTGTTTGAACCCCCGGAACCGACCATCCCGGCTGTGCATGCGCATGGCCCTTAGGATTCAAGCCAGGAGTTTTGCCACAGGACGCACAGCACTGTCGCGACCCTGGCTCACTCCATCTACTCCTTCTTGACGGCAGTTTTGCCTGAGTACCCAGAGGTTCAGATGGTTAGCAAAATGAGCCAAGATACCTTCACCTGGCGGGTCTTAATAACGTGCAGCCTAGACTCGCGTCCTGATCTCAAAACCCCTCTGCCTGCAGAGCCCTGCAATCTACATTGCAAGCTTAATCTCTGACAGGCTCTTTTTGTTTTTTGAACCCTCTTTTCCTCCTGCCCTTCAAGTTAGTTGGAAGGCCATGCTGGCTGAGGGGTTAGTTCGGGCAGCTGCGTACCGGGAAGCCACATCCATCCTTAACACTGCATAAAGGATCTCTGCAGCCCGAACCAAGCAGAGCCTGCCTCACTGGTTACTTACGAGCTTGTACTGTCACTCAGTAGGCTTGTCTGGCCCGCAGGGGGTTGCGATTCCTTGGTCACATCTGCAGGCTCCTGGCCTATTGCATAAGGCAGGCGCCGACTTCGGGCGCTCTGTACTCCAGAATCGCCAGGGCCAGCATCCCGAAGTTGCCTGGTTGCATAAAAAAAGGGGCCTTAACAATTGGAACAGGGTTTGGGGCCTATTGTACTATAGTTACACTAAGCAAACGCTAAAACAATATTGGTAATCATTTAATGCTCTTCCGTTGTTTTGTTGAAGTGCCCAAGGAGCTGTTGCGTGTGCTTCTGATTGGGCCAAACGGGGCGGGGGGGGGGGGGGGGGCACTGCAGAAAACTCTGCTGCATGCGTCAAAGTGGCAACAGTGGAAGCTGAAGCATACGATGCAGAACTCCTTTCCAGAGGCTGCTAATGGTTGCTGAATTTGGCGACGCACTTTCTCCGGTTATGCTCTTCAAGTGTGGATGAAAGCAAAGCGCCCACATATTGCCACAGTGCAAGCACAGGCCATCAGCCCAGTCCTGGCACTATTGAATCAAGGACCCATAACCTTAATTCAATCAGACCAGCTGTCACGGTCTTCACAGATCCTGCAAAATCACCTTGATCACGTAGAGAAGGTAGATGGAGAAAAAGCCACCTTCTTGCACCGTTCGATGTGTTGCAGCCGACAAGGTTTCCAATGAGAATCTCCGGTACGATGAAGCCGAATGCTACATGAGATTTCGATGCCCTTGAAACAAACTCTGCATGCCAGGCCTGCAGTGGCTACTGCCAGAAATGCCTCCTCTCTCAAGGGAAACGGGACCTTTACCTGGGTTGCAAGACAGACTCTGACAGAACTCACGACATCTCGCTGCTCTCTCAATTCCCCGAAGCACGCAACCGGAAAACCATCAAGGAAGCATGCTGAGAGTAAATTTCAATTGCTATTGAAACGGACGGCCTCTTGGGCTGCTGGTTAAATTTCGAGGCGAGCTTGCCACTTCGTCTAGCTCCAGCAAGCTCAGGCACAACAGCGTTGTGCTTCGGTGAGACTTGGAGGCCAGGATACCGAGATGGCCAGGAAGTAGCATGAGTAGAGCAGAAGTCCTGAAGCAGTGAGGTTCCAGTACAGTAAAACCAGTGCATGATGCCCAAGAGTCATGTCAGCAGGGATCACACCGCACAAATTCTGAATCTGACATGACACACAACCTTCAGTGCAAGAATGCGTTTGCTGCGTTCTGCAATCCTGTAACTGCAAGGGACAGGTCGAAACCGGAGCCCTTCTCCACCAAGCCCCAGTGACCTGAAGCCACGCTACTCAACGCCTTCAAGCAGAGAATTCTTTAAACCGACACTGTCCAGACTACTGTCCGGGCCAACTCGTTCACACAACACGGGATGAGGTCTCGAGGGTTGCTGACGTTCGAGGCAGGTGCACGACTGCAGCCACAGCATATGCAGGCTGCAATTCAAGAGTGTTGCAGAAAACATGGCAGCACTTTGAGACAGAACTAGATGGATGCTGCAGTTCTCCAATGATTTAATGTCGCATTCTGCTGCTTCACACATCCTAAATCTGAGGCAGCACAGTGCAAGCTGAGGCATCCGCTGAGAATGTGGCCGTACGGACTTTTGAACACTGTGACCTCAAGTCCAACTCCACGTGTCAACCGTCAACCCACTATCCCTGTCAGTCCCTGCATTGCGTGTCGAGGCACACAGTTGCCACCCGTCCATGAACTACTGCAGGATGGCTGATAAAACGGGTCGTCCATCTTGTTCTCCACATAGAACGCATAGGCCTCGATGTCATCACACTGGCCCGTCCATGCCCGACCCTGGCCTACAAGCCGTAACAACCTGAAGCCCTACTACAGCATTCCTGCCCTCGCAGGAGCTCTCCTGACTCCTGAACACGTGACTCTCTAAATCGGCCGGCTGGCAGAGATCAGGATGCCACACAAGGCTACAAGCTGCACTTTCTTCCGCCTCTTCCTGGGCAAAGCAGCTTTAGAGAAGAGTTTTGAAACAGTTTTCGGGTCGCGGTTGATGATTGGCTTGTCTCTCAAAATCCACACGAGCCCCCGCGCGGTTAAGGGAGCCTTGCAGATGATTCCTGGCACTTGCTAGCATGCAGTATAGCTACTCGGAGCAAGCCAAAATCAATGCTTGAATACTATCCTATAACATTGCCTTGTATTACATTATCTGGCCTTATACGATCTTACTTTAATAGTCTTTAATGTGCGATGTGACAATATGTTACACATGTTGCAGTATGCTAACCTATACTATGCAAAGCAATGGCTTCAAACCGTTCGCTCTCCACATCTGCATGAACCGGCTCGGAGCATCTCGCTCTTCACTAGGTCACTAGGAACCTGCGCTGAATTGCTTCCTTGCCCGAAAACTCCACGGACATCGCGGAACCAGGCAGGCAAGCCACATTGGTCGAGGAAGCTCGACAGGCCTTCTGCGAAAATCCACCAGGGTGGGAGGAAACGAATCGAATTTGAGCCATGCAGCTGCGGTCGCCAAGCCGCAAACCGCATTAAATACGGTATTATCTGGAACGAACTGAAACTTCTTTCGCGGCTTCAGGATCGGTGCCCCTCCACTTCAACTCGTGCTTTTGCTTGTGCCTATGACCAGCCTTACATAGCCCCTCAAGTGAGTTTGTCTGAGGCACAGGCGCATGATCTCCCAAGTCGTTGTGAGATGCCTCACGGGCGGCTTCCCTATCCCCATCTCCTTCTACTGGTAAAAACTTTGCAAATTTCTGTACATGCGCCGACGCTTTGCGAATTTCCCTTTGCTCGTGAGTTCAAGAAGCCCTGCAGCATAACGAGAAACATCAGGAAATTAGTCTGCATCGTTGTCTATCCTATGAACTTCATTCCTTCCTGCTATATGCATTACTAGCGCGATTTAACGCATTGACTACATTAACCTAACCCGTACCATATGTCAGCACCTTCGCCTGCAACTGGCTTCCTCACACTGAACTTCGGAATTAACCTCAACCCGCGCCGGCCCCCCCCGAACATTGTTTGTCACTCGCACTCGACAGAGTCAGGCGAGGTTGCTGAGAAGTGCAAACCGCAAACGTCCCAACACATTGGTCCAGCGAACATAGACCCAAGGTTTTGAGCGACTCTGAGTGCACAACAGGCCATTCAACACGTCTCAGCCCACCATCCGTGACCATTCGGACCAGCACTGCAAGCTGATACGGAAAAGCATCCCGCCGACATACTTGCACGCCTTCCCCGGGGTGAAAAACACCGGTGAAAGCTCTTGCCTGATTTGAACCTGGGCGTTTGCCTGGAAGAGCCCTCAAAATGGCAGCACCCGAAACGATCGCCTTTAGAGGCAGCAACTGCCTGAGCGATGCCTAACATGCCTTTCCATACATGTATCTTAGCCCTGTCTAAGAACCATCATAATCGGAATTAATGGTGTTTGGAACGCGGCTGTGAACGATCATGCAGCTGAGGCTTTGGCATTCAACTCATCGATTCTGTCACACGGGAGCCTGGCAGCAGGGAGCCCCGAATTCCGTGCTTAACATCACACCCACACACCAGCATCCACAACCTCTGATTCATAATACCGTGGCTGTCGGGAACAGACCGAAGGACTTCTCATGCACAGCTGGACACAAAGCTGCGAACCAGCCACTCTGAAACATTGCAGGTCGTATTCTGTCAAGACTCCTAGCGATCCACGTAAGGTGGTTCCAACCACGTCGGGAATGCCCCTCCAGAAGATCCAGCAACTTCTGCAGGTTCAGTCGACTGTTGGCCAGGTTTAGCCTTCGGCAGCACACCGGCATCCATGCACTCTGATGCAGACAAGCCGAGTGTGCTAAACAGCAGAATAACATGTTGAATTTCAGACCCTTCGCGCGCTCAAGATGACTCATGCTGGCGGCGCAGACGCCAGGAGCGTGATTTCGACTATTGGTCTCTTGACTCCTCCTGTCTTTCTCTTGTGACATGCGCAACGCACAGGACTAGGAAGAAACAGTCGTTTGATAGAAATTAGAGAGGGGTTCTTCTGCATCTCCACTTCTTCTGCATAATCCGCAGAACTCCAAGAGACGACCTTCACTGATGCCTTTCATTTACCCTAGTGTGGCCGACCTAGATGACAATCAGGTGCAGCATGCCCTACTGACGTATCCTCTCGACAGGCTTACGATTCTCGGCTTGAAAGTATTGACTATCATTGGCTGGATGTAAGGATCCACTGGCGTAGTCTGTGTGTAACACATGGCCATGTTGCGCCATATTAGGCAACACATCGCCACACTTCTGCACCCGTCGCGGGATGCAGCGAGCACGAAACTTCTCTGTACTCTACGACTCGCCAAGGCCTCAGATTCCCCAGGCGGGACGGCTGCGCAGCCGCCATATCATCAGCTCAGGGGGTCCACATGCATTTGGTCTCCATACTGTGTAGATACAGAGGAACGCAAAGTGTCTAAGTTACTCAGGGCTTGGGTCTCGCATGGGGCTACGGTCGCAGGTCGCCCTATGAGGCTGAAAGACCGTTTCGAAAGGGTGGCTCACTGGCAGGCCCGCCTCTACCCTGCAACAGGCGCGCTTAATCAGATGTAACGCCTCGCAGCCGCTCGCGACCGAAAGGAGAGGATTGGGTTAGGATTGAGGGGCATGTGCTGCCTGGGGCCCGTCTTGAGCCTTTGCCAGGAGCGGGTCGAAGTCTGAATGCTGAGACATGCTCGTGTCAACCTGCCGCGGACCATATCATGAAGCTCTGAACATGCGGGAAACGACCGAAGTCAGACCTCAAGAATTGTCGGAGACTCCTGAAACCTGCTCACCTGCAAGCTCGATCCCGGCGCAAGCCCTCCAGGTCTGTAACAGGTCCGCAAGAAAACAATCTGCAAACCCCCACCCTGAGTACCGGCGAGCAGCCTCTCGACTCCCCGCTCACAAACCTGGAGACCTCGAAACAGTGCATCAAGGTAGCATGCCAGCTAATCGGCTCCATGCTCGAACAACGAGCGAGGATCGCTTCCAGCATTTTCCCAAAGCCAGAGCTGCGCTCTTTGGCTAAGAGAGATGACGGCGCCAAGGCCTGGCAATCGCACTTTCAATGGGCCATCCAACCGCTGACTTGAATCCTACAAGCTTGGTGCAACCCGACCAGATATTTGGTTGCGGTAGAGGTGCTTCCCGCTTCAGATTTTCATATCTACCGGTGGTAACTTCAGCATAACATCCATTACCTTCATGCTTCTGAGCAGAACCGCAGGACCATGTAATGATTAGAATGCCGCCAAGCTTGCCTTGTGGCGAACTCCAGCACTGGCGTGGTGGAGGCCAGGAACTCGGCGAGCTTCGCCTGTCGCCAGAACTGTATGCGAGTGCGAGTTAAGCGAAGAATAACTCAGCAGGTATATCATCGCAGGCCCTGGCTTTCGGTCCTGTGCGAGTATACCCTGAGCTCAGCACACTGTGGTTTTTCATAAAGAAAGAACTTACGAAGGCCTCCTTATTTCAAGCAGCAGCAAGAGCTAATGCATGTACTAAAGTCGAACACCTATTTCGGCAGCCCTGATTCCGACTGATCGTGACGAGCTCCCTGTGCTAGGCATAAGTCACACAAGTGTCCAATACCGGGTTCGCGCTAATATCAGGGGCTCGCTCGAGTTTGCCACACAAACCCTGTTGCCATTTTCAGAGTTTCATCTTTCATGGCAGTGCTCCCGACTCTTCTTGACACGAAGAGGCTTCACGCCGGGTGTCTGGCCTCAGCCGTTGAAGACGGATTTGTAGCGACCCTGAGCAGCAAACGACGCTGTGCCAGATCTCATGTCAGATGGTCACACACGCAAATTCATGTTATGATAGCAGCATGCCGAAGATGTTCGGGATTTGAGTACACTCATGAGCAGCTGCAGCAAGTTCATCTTCGACATTTCTTGGCTCTTTCCCTGATCGTGTGCAGAGGAGCAAGTCCCAATTGGTTCTTAGCATCCTCGTAAGACCATGAGCCGTACGGGCCTCTAAACTGCGGAACTCTGCAACGTAAGCTTCGCAAAATATCAATGTCAGTAGCCTGTCAATAGCAATACTAATGATAATATTCGTGGTCATATGAACATTGAATACAAATATCCCACCAAGGCTCAGTAGCAGCTCTTTGGCCACCAGCTGCGCCAAACGGCTCGCCATCACTACGTCCTGAGGTGCTGAGTCTTCCATGATTTGTGGAAATACAGCACTGGAAGAAAAGAAGCCTATGTTATCAGCAGATCCCATGGCATTCCTTCATCGTCTGCCCAGTGCCAAGTTCACACCACGAGATGGAATGACTCCGATTAGAGTATGTGGCCGCTCGGGTTGAGCGATGCATGGCATCTATTTCACACGGAGTTCCCGGTGGCCTTCCACTGCAGGCACTCGGTGGCCAGGATCAACGCATAGTCTGCGTGGACCTTCGGGCTTGGTGGCTTGATTTTGACAGACCCTCTGCTTCATTCTTGCACGCTGCAGGATTCACCTTTGCACTGAGACGCGGCTGCAACCTTTGAACTCTGGCATACCTTTTCGTGCTTGCTGTGGGGCTTTGCATGTCAAAACCTCGGCCTGCGCAGGATGAAACCCACGCCTCGCCTGCCCTGTATACTTCTCGATGCCTACCCGGACCACCAAAGTATGTAGAATAATGGCCTTTTATAGGTCTTGGGCAGTTATTCTAGCTATGCGGGGTTTAGGTAGAGACGGGGCGAGCCTGGCCTTTAGTGGCGCGCACCTGGGTTTATTTCGACTTTAAACTTTCCCAAGCTGTCGAGCCTCATCTGGCCGCCCATCATAAAGGAGGAAGTCTGCGCCAAACTTGAGAGAATCTGGGCATACCTGCATGGCGGGTAGTTCTTACCGGCTGCTGGGTGAAGGTTGGAGTACACACTCTACTGTACACGCCGAACCACAAACGCACGGTTCCACTTACAATCACATATCACGTCCACCTTTGCACTAACACTCAGACACGCTCCCCGCACCTCCTCAGCAGGAATCTATGCTGCTGTTTGCATGCGCCCTGTCTAGGCCTCGCGAAAAGCTGGAAACAAGACATATCTGAAGTTTCCCCTACCTCGCGTCGATTAACTCGGGCTGGGCTCACCGTCCAGCCCTGCAATCGGTAGTGGCGGTAAGCCAGGTACCGGCTCGGGAACTCCCTGACCTGACTGCTTGGATCTGGAAGCAAACAGACTTAGCATCGCAGGGCGGCCACAAACTGCAGACTTGCAAAGGTCTGACTCAAGGATACCTGGCTCCTACGACAGTCCAGGATGCAAGTCTTGCACTGCAAGAATGAGACATGCAGGACGTTCCGGCTGCTCAGACAGTGCCGGGAGTCTGAAATCTAAGTCACTTCGGAAAAGATTTCACCAGTTGTGGCTCGTTCTTCGTTGGCAAATTCCACAGTCAATCCTTGCATCGCTGGAGATCCAAACCAAGATCTCTGCAAACTTCTCGGGTGCAAAGGCCCTGACCAGCTCGCAGCACTTCAGGAAGAAGGTGTCAGACGTGTGGACCTCTGTTTAAACGGCACTGGCACTTGCGCAAGACCTATATGCAACAGCCGCAACGTGCATCAGCACCACTTGTGCGCACAGGACTTTCACACGAGGGCCCTGCATGTACTGAGACTGTAGGATCGGGAGTCTTTTTTCTCGCACATCTGTTGTCCCCCATCTTGTTCCTGTCTGAGACGGGAGAGGCTTCATTGTCAGCTTCGCACGGATCTTCGCACACCTCTCCCGCAAGAGTTGGTGGGTTTCTTACTTGCCAAGATGCTTCCTCAACTGCTCTTGCACTGGCAAAGAAGCAGCGTTTGCTGAGTCCTCTTTGAACACTATATAGCCACAAAGAAAAACTGTTTACACTCTCGTCCAGGTTCATCATGAAGTTGTATGCCTCACCCTCCTCACCGAAGTCCACGATGGCCACGCAGCTTGCACCGACGACCTTGCGGGGCATGCCGTCCTTGTCCTTGCAGAGCGCACTAGGCTGGTGAGTTGTTCGAATGCTGCTAACCTTAAACTCGTCACAGATAAGGCATCCCAAGGCTGAACCGGCTTCATTAGTTGGGATTCGCTGCAGCACAATCTCCGCATGTGGTGCAAACATCAGAGGCCTCGTGGTGCCCAAGTTACTCAGTACCTAACTCATGGGAGGCAAGAATTCAGCGACTAGCTCGGCTTCAAAAAAAGAGGCTTCCTGAACCACCCCTGCCTGCAAGCCAGCTAGAGAACCAACCACGTCTTCCACCTTCGAAAACTGTTCAGCATTGGCTTGTGCATCGGTTGTGCCGTCTGGTTACGACGTCCTACACCAAACGAGCCCAGCATCGATCTTGCAAAGGCCCGCCCACTCGCCGAGGCTTTTGTTGTCCGGGACGTCAATGACCGGCACGTTCCTCGACGACCATGCACAGCCATGCTCTCGACTAAATGCATAGCGTTCCCATGTGGTCAACATGATCATTGCAGCTGAGGCAGTGCTGCAAAAACTGAGCCGTGATAACAACAAAAACTGAACAGCCACCGAATTTCTTCTCCACGCAGAGCCCCTGGATGAGCTTCTTGTACGTCGCCTGTGAGCTCGATCGTCGTGGCGCCAGGCTTTACAGGGTCTCCAACACCAAACGACTCTCTTCTGTGGCATCTGGCCACCTGAACTCCAGAAACCCTACAAATCCTCGCCCTAGACCTGTGAACACAGCTCCACACCAGGCCTCGTTGCAGGACTCGGACAGGAACACCTGGGCTTTGCTGACATTGCATTATCGCAGGTCATGCAGGCTCAAATCCCTGGTGTCGGGAGGTCTTGAGAGCTCTCGGCACTGTTGCCGTAAGCTCCACTCTAGGCAAATAAAGCTGTCTCGTCCTCCTTTTTGCATTCATACCAAGAGTTGCGTCAGTTGCGGGTATCAGCAGGTCGCACGAAAAGGGAGGAGGCTACGAAAACGGCACGAAGCCCGACTTTGGACCAGTTTGCATGGTTCCACAAAGTGTTCCTGGTGATTCTGCTTGTGATGCTTTCGAGCTGCAACCCCTCAGCCTTGAAGCCTTCTACCATTTCCCTTGACCGAGGCACTACCTGTGCCTTGCATGCCTCGATGTGCTTGGCCACCTGGCTTACGGCACGGCCAATCGGGGCAAATAGAAGTTGTCCAGGATTTATATGAGCGTTTTTCAAAACTTCTTGTTCAGGGCTAGGCCATGGATGATGTGGGGGGGTCCTATCGCTTTTCAAGGATGCCGTCGCATGTTTCTGACTGCCCTCTGCTGCCCTTTACTATATGGGGCAGTGGCGCATAAAACGAGCTAGCAGGTATCGATTAGGGCATCGATTGGGTATCGATTGCCTAGCCATGTATCACATGGAATATTTTGGCACAAATGCCGCGGCTGCGCGGAAATATCCAAAGAGATGATCCTCGTTAACCGTATCACTTTTGGGGGGGTCCTTTTGCTTTCCATTGACATTGGCAACATCCGACATTCCACGGTCACCCTACTCTTAACTACAATTACGGAAGTTCCGACGGATGCTCATATGAACCCTCTTGGCCAGTTCACGCTTTCAAGCACGACCTGGCTGCTGGCGTAGCCGAATGATACCCCCTAAAGCTGCTCCAGAATCGCTGGAAAAGAAACTTGTTCACCATCTCAGAAACCGACAGACGTGGGTCAGGATTATAGGGTTGCACGTAAGACTCAATTGTTTTCACAGGCCTTGCAGGTATCAGCACAATGGCCATATAGCTTGCGCGCTGACTTCCTTGCAAACTTAGAAGCTCAGCACACAGAGCCCCAGTCCCCCAATCCTTGCGGCCCACCTCATGCAGTCCGCGAATGGCGCCATCCACCATCAGTGACTTCTTGAGGACCTTAGGGCTCAGTTTGGAGGCTGCTCTTCCAAGGCAAGCAGACCCACATCACGCCTGCTCGCATCTGTGAGGCAACTTTGTGTTCTTCTGCCGACTTGTGAGGGAGCTAGGGCAGCTAGGGAGATTCCTGTGAACATGAAAGGCCCACGCAGTTGTGGAACAGTGAAGCTAGAACACGGACTGTCACTGGTTTCACTCGCACCGAAAACGAAACAGAACCATTTAAGCAATTGTGAGAAGTTGATGTTCACCACTTCACCCGAAGTTCCTCAAGTCCCCAACTCCTCTGATAAAACAACTGTGCACGCGCAAACAATCAATGCTGGCCCAGGCCGGTGTTTGAGACATTGCCTGCCCCACAGGAACCACAACTCGACCCGGAATGAGCTGTGAAAGAAGACTGCTAACAAGAAAACACCTTCACAGTCACTATACGTTACTATTCCATAATTTTGTTCCTGATTATATTTGGGCACATTAACGCCGTGCCGCTTGACGGAGCACGTACATACATTCCCACCTGTGAAGATGTGCTTTATGTCATCCGCATCTCTAGTGACCGACTCTGGAGCAAAGTTTGAACAAAGGCAGGGCCAGCCGAAGCTGGACTGTGCGGGTCACCAAAACTGAGGGAGCTGGGTCGAAGTCTGTGGCTGGTTGGTTGGTGCACGTGGTTGCTGCCGGCAGTTCGGAAGCGGACGACAACCCGCTTCGGTGATGGGCTGCTTTCCTGGCTCAGGCTGCGCGAAGGCGCGAAGTCCGTGGCTGGTCCAGGTAAAATAACCCTAGCCTCACGAGGTCTGTCATGATTCAAAAACCAGGCAGCCGATTCTGTCCACGAGTTCCCTTGTTTACGAGTCCTGTTTCGTCGTCTCGGCTCAGGCCTCTCCGGCGAGGCCAGGGGCGGGAAACACAATCCGCGATTAATCCCGGCCTGAAGCCAGAACTTGGGCTTTCCATAAAGCCTACCAATTGCACACTGCGCACTGGGCGTGCTGGCCGCAGTCTAGTTATACAGAAAATGTCCAATCGTGTATATAGGTATCTCGGAATAGATGTAGATATAGACATATGCAGTCTCCGAGGTTGGGACTCCATAATCGAGCTTCACTGGCTCGCGCAGCCCAAGTGTGCAAAAAGCTGAATTCGATTGCGAAGCATCTTGGCTTCTCTCTTGGGTGCAGAGATGGCACTGCTCATCATCCTGACCCTTGTGTTGTCTATCTGCTTTCGCGTGCAGCAACCTTCCTTTTTGCTGCAGGCCTGCACGCGAGGACGCCTAAAGGACAAAGCCGGCAGAACCTCGGACCTCATATGCCACGTGGAGCAAGCGACATGGACCTCCTGTGAGTATTTCAGCTCCTGACAATGGGAATCAGCGCAATTCTCCGAGCAGCCTTCAAAGATGCTCTCTTCTCTTGCCACTGGGGGAAACCCCTGACATCAAAGATGTTATGTCCTAACATCTTTCAGACGAAAGGCTTTTCCTCCTTGTGTCATGAGACTGCCCTCGTCCGTCTCATGGCGCAATCACGCGGAAGCTGTTCCATAAGTGCAGGAGCACTGAAGGACATGCATGTGTGTGTGTGTGTGTGTGTGTGCGTGTGCGTGTGCGTGTGCGTGTGCGTGTGCGTGTGCGTGTGCGTGTGCGTGCGCGTGCGTGCGTGCGTGCGTGCGTGCGTGCGTGCGTGCGTGTGTGTCTACATATCTGGACATCTTGATACTTTGTGAGCTATTTGCCAGTCTGAGACTGTGTGGTTCAGAAAACATAATGAACATGAGGATCTTATTGAAAAGACCCGAGAATTGCTGAGAAACCCCTCTCAGACCCCGGGGATCTTTAAATAGGGGGACCCAAACTACAAACCACAGCAACAAAAAGTCATAGGAATAATAGTCATAGTCGTAATATTCGTAATAATAATCATAACCATAATGGCAATAATCGAAGTACTAGTGAACATGGTAACAGTAGCAATTAAAGTAATAATGGTGGTAATGATAGTAATACCAATAATAACTGATAACAGCATCCGTTATAATTATTGATAATCGAAATAATTATCATAATTGATAATATAAATAGTTATAAGAGTTGATAATAGTAATAATTGAATCGAAGTCCGAGAGGCGCCCCGCACCGCGCCCATGAGGTCGGTCACCTCCTCCTCGGGCTCAGCCTCTGGGACGGCGACCTCCTGGAGCCGGAACGACCCAACGAACATTAGGGTTCAGGGTTTCTGGGGTTTCGGTGCTCACACTCGAACAATCCAGGCGAGGCAAGTGGTTCAGAGTCTGATGAGTGAAACTTCACTAGGGGAGTAGCCAGAGTACAACCAACAATTGATCTGTCAAACACATGAAGTGACCGTGGCATTTTAGACATGTCCCCCCCCTTAGGATCCGGTGTACGCTCTCGCAACCCAGACACAGCCAGACGAGGTTCTTGGTTCGCATCGACTACACTCACGGCTCATCTAAGTCGGTTTGAGGTTTCTAGGGTTTCGGCGTTTAGGGTTCAGAGTTGGGGGTTAGGACAAGCGCAGCTTCGTGTAGAATAATTGTAAGCAGCCCGGAAGACGCTACTCTGGCACCCCGGTCTGTTTGTGGTGTGACCGGATCGCTCATCAGTGCTTGATAGAAGTATCTGAAACAGACGGACGAAAAGCGACCTTGCGACAAGCTCAAAAAGCCTGTCTTCTTCCGCCGGGAATGAGGGGCTGTTAAGACCCCTCGGCCACTAGGGCATACTAGGGCCCCCCCATGTTTTGTGGGGACTTTGGAGGAGTGTGAGAGTGTTTCGTAGTTATTTCCCCCGGTAGATCATCTTTGAGAAACCTATATTGGAGTACATCTATGCGAGCCGTATGATCCCCCGGTATCCGCAACTACGTTGACATACAGTTTCGGTCATGGTCGGTTCGGGAATTGCTTCAACATAATCAAACTAGGTAAAGCTGCGATAAAAGTGAACAACAAACACTACATTTAGCCTGTCTCTCTCTCTCTCTCTCTCTCCCTCCCTCTCTCTTTGCTTTGCTAGGGGCTTCCCTCCCTCCCTCCCTCCCTCTCTCTCTCTCTCTCTCTCTCTCTCTCGCTCCCTCTCGAACAGTCTCTCTGGTACTAGTCCCTGTAAACACACCAGCCTCATCGTCGAGTTCAGCCATGGTTCGGATGCTGCGGTGGAGTAGTTTGGGAGACAGATCAGATGCTAGATTCCCCTGAGCCGAATTGGCTGAAGGTTGTAGAGGTTGCAGGACCTGTAGAAGCCCTTGTACAATAGGCTTTACACTTCACTTCGCCCGGGAAACTTCTCGCAAAGACCTTGCGACTGACTTTTTGACATAGCAACGGGAAACATTCAACGGCCCGCCGCAAGAAATCTGAAACATTGACTTTACCCTCCAAAGCCAGCTGATCAAAGCTCTACATACAGACGTCTTTCAATTGTCCAATCGTCACATCCTTGGCCTGAGGCGGCCCTCTATGCTTGTCTGACAATGCCTCCTACATCTTCCTACTGTACGCAAACCTGCAATGCAAAGACGACCTGTGCATAAACACGGCATTCGTGGGCTTTGGCCGTGTCCAGAAGCAAGTGAGGACACCAGCGTGGGCTACGGATACCTTTCCACCTGCCAGTGTTGCCTGGTACCCTCAGCCTGAACTATCGGATCAAAGCAAGACGGCCAGCGTCATGCTCCCGAAGAAATCCTAAGCCGAGTCTCTGGCCGTGCTTTGGGTCCGGACATCAAGAACGTGCAGCTCTGACCTGATGCAGAAATCCAGCACAGGATGTTCCAAAGGAACCCCTCCAGAGCTGAGGAGGGAGCTGTAGAAACAAAGCCTGCGTGCGGAGCAGCACACCAAACACGGCGAGATGAGGGCGAAGTGCGGCACGATTGGAAATCTGAGGGTACCAGTAGCAATTCGCTTGGACCTTTAACCCCTTTGCCATGCAAGAAGAACTGCTCGAGCACCGCAGCTGAACCTTGAGACTTCTTGGCGGGGTTGACTTCGTGTAATACTGTACTGTAATACTATACTCTATGGGTACTATACTAATACCAAAATAACACTATACTGTCTATCTAGTACTCGAGTCCTTAATATGAAGCTCGGAGAGCTCTAAGCTTTCGCCCGCTGAGCCTCCTCGAGAGACAGGAGGAGGGCAGAAAGCTCTCGAACTTCAGTGCCAAAGCTCCTCTGCACAAGTCGAGGCAAGTAGGTTAACTTAGGGATGAGCAGCTCATAGCGGCTCGTCAGACTTTGACCACCACATAGTCACAGGTATCGAACCCCTGAGACTTGCAGGGGGGCTGTGAGGTCACCCACCTCCTGCGGCAAAGTAGGTCCATTGATGACCCTGCAACGGTGCTCAAGATGAATTCCGTCAGGAAGCTAGAAAAAGAGTTTTGACGTGATGATCAGTTGCCGGGACAAAGATGCCTGGAATTCGGTCCCCTGTGCCAGCAGCAGTAGCTGCAACCGAGGAGGCTATGGACAACCCCCCGGAACGGAGCAAGAGCCTCTCTGGTCCGAAGGCACCAGAACGCTGTGTCCATAGAGAGTCCTGGTCGACTTCTCGGCTTTGGAGTTGCGCAGGGTTGGGCAGAGCTCTGGACATGTTTGGGAGTTTCCGAACATGGGGACCCTAATAGTACCCTAAATAGTAGGATCCTTCTTATAGGGACCCCAACATAAGGTACCTCCTAGTTCTCGGAAACTCCCGTTTGGGGTTTCCGGCACCTGATCTCAACGGGGCAAATCTTGCATATGGAGCTCATCTCAGTCACTGTCGCGCAAGGTACCGCCGGCAGTCCCACAGGCAGGTGCCGCAGCCTCCGAGTCGGCTCGGCACTGAAGCTTCGGACTGAGGCGCTCAGAGCAGGCTAGATCTGAGACTGGGGTTCAGCCGTAGGCATCGAGCGGACTCTCCAGGGCGAATACCACCGGGTATCTTGTAGGGTTTGAGTTTCTCATTTCACATACGGAATGTAGCATAGTTCGTCCACAGTCGGCGAGGAATCCTGCTCCCAACTACTGCCGAACCTCCCACGTCTCTGTGCCTGCCTCCTCATGGATGGCTTTGGCCGGAGACGTCATGTTGCAGGAAAGCAATCCCAAGACTAAACATGGCACAATCGTGGTTCGTCTACACATTAGCTTCGTCAAAAAATGGATGCGAGGCAAAACCGCAACAAGAGTTGAGAGTTACGTTGCCCCTGCCTGCCTGCTAACGAAGCTTAGCTACCAGTAGGTGGTTGCATCGACATGGGTGCTAAGGGGCTGCGAGACGCAATCCTTGTAGTGCTTGCATTGAGAAGCATGACTTGAGTACTCCCCCCATACAGTAACAGTCTATGATATGGCTACTATTAAGGTCCTAATATATCTATATATTATGAATATTATTCAACTGTCCCCGAGTGGGGGCAGTACCGAAAGCATGACTGTCAGCTCGAACAACACGTGCGGCCCCGGCCTCGATTCGGAAGTTCGGTGTGCGCTCTTTTGCGCTCTGGCCAATGTACGCCAAGCTTGTGTATGAAACCCAGTGCTATCTGCGACTGTGGGCTCTGTAGTCTACGGGCAGCAAGAGGTTTCGGAAGAGTGCAAGAAGGCAAGCTTGCGTTCGCAAGCTGCCGACAGCCAGCCACCACACCAGGGGTCTTCAACAAGTCTAGGCAGGACGGTGCAGCATCCTCAACCCGAAAAAGGAATTCCTCACAGTAGGACCCCTGGCAAGCTTTGTCAAAACCGGGAGCTGTGGAGGGCTCCTGGGCTCAGTCTACTTTCAGTTTATTCATCAGCTCAGTGCGGATATCTTGACCTTTCAGTTTCTACATTCGCAGTTTGAGTTCCGGGTTGGATTCACTGAATCACACATGATGCCTGCCAACATGGACGATGCCTTCGGCTGGTCCCTTTGGCAGTTGAAGCGCTTGACTGGTGCCCGTGGCCAGGGATTCCTACAGGGGCTTCCCCTCCTCAACTAGGTCTTGCGCTCTCAGGTTTTTGTCCCTCGAAACCCTGGACCAAGAAGTTGGAAAAGAAAGCTACCGGCCCTCCTTTTTTGTGAGGTGGGAAAACAGACTGCCAAAACTCTCACGCCGACCAGCGGGAAGTGATTGACGTTTTGGGGCACCTGGCGGCCCAAAAGCAAAGCTCTGTCGTTCTAATCAGCTCCTTCTCGAATCTAGCACTTGCGGTGCTACGAGAAACTGGCTCGCTGTTGGGTCGAGCCTGCAATCTAGCGTGTAAAAGCACATAGGGCGCTCTGCAATCAGGTTTCGTCGACGTGTTTTGGCTTCCTATTTATTAAGGCCTTGAAGCTGCCCCGGAACTACGGCATGTAAGAGCTTGAATGCGTCTCGCTTGCATTGCACGCGGAACTGCACGAACAGTCCATGGTGGACTGCACTGGGCACCTTCTTTTGCGTCGTGCCCTGCAGCCCCAGCATCTTTGTCTAGTGGGCCGTTGCCATTAATTCGGACGAGACAATTGCCTGTACTCCATCACGGACCCTGGAACGGATCAACGACACTTCGCGTCGCAGCCGTTGAACCTGGCACTCTAACTCTGAACGTTCCAAGTCAAAAGCAGCCTGTTGCTGCCATTTGAACGACTCTTCCGTTCGAAGAACCTGGTCTGCACGATCCTGCTCCTGTTGAGCCCTCGCTTTCCAAGTTTGCATCTGGCGTGTGAGTCGTCGGCATTCAGCCTCTGCTTGGCGCCGCACTGCCTCCAACTGATTGCTGGCAACAAGTCGAACCTCAAGGAGCTCAGACTGCACTTTGGCATGGCTTTCTTCAGCTGCTTTGGCCCTCATCCCTGTCGCGTGTAGCTCCTGCATCGCTTCGCTGACGCGGCGCTCAGCAGCCTGCAGCCGAGACTGAAGGCCCGCGTTCTCTGCCAGAGCACGTCCGAGCTTCTCGCCCTGCTCGACCGCAACAAACCCGAACTTTTCTGCCTGCTCTGTAGCGGCGCGCCCAAGCTTTTCGGCTTGCTCTGCGGCTGAGCGCCCGAGCTTTTCGGCATGCTCTGCTGCTGCCTGCCCGAGCTTCTCAGCTTGTTCTGCTGCCACGCGCCCAAACTTCTCAGCGTGCTCCGCCGTTGTGAGTGCCAGCTTCTCTCTGGCCCCTGCCAGACTTGTGTCCCAAGTGGCCCAGAGGTGTGCAAGCTGCTGCTGTAGCTCAACCACCTGTTGCTCAAGCAAGCGCCGGGCTTGCTGGGATTCTTTAAAGTCGCCCTGGAGTTGCTCCTGCTGCATTTCATAGTCGGCTTTCTTCTTTTCTGCCAAGCACTCTGCGGCATCGATCCGCTGCAGGTATTGCTCATGAAGCTGCTCCAGCTTCTCAATGGCATCTTCCCTCTCCGAGAGTTGCTGTCGAAGCTCCTGCGAGACTTTCTGCTGGAAGTCGCCGGCTTCCTTCGCCACAGCAATTTCTCGTCGGAGCTTGGCCGCCAGGCTTTGGGCCGCCACTTCCGCTGCCTTCGAAGAGTCGTTTTCCATCTCGAGCTCTGCCAGCCTTGCATCTCGATCTTGCAGGTCAGATGACAGCTGAGCATGAGTTTCCGCCATTTGCTCGGATTCTTGCTTGCTGGTCTCCAACTCGACTTGCACTCGCTGCAACTCCTCCGCCTTCTCTTTCGAATCTCTGCGCGCCATCTGGTAGTGTCGCCGCATGGCCAGGCCTTGATGCCTCAAGAGCCCCAGCTCCCAGCGCAGTTGCTGATTGCGCTGGGCCAGGGCCAACTTTTGCTCCAAGCTCAGATGTCGGCAGAGCTGCTGGACCTCTGATGGTTGCTCCAGCTCCCTTGGTGCTGTCAGACTCCTGGTTAGGGGCTTCGAGGTGTAGAATCGACCCTCACTGCGCCGGGGCTCAGTGCTGACAGACTCCGAGACGTCCTCCCCAGCCTGACCAACCCGGCACTCGCTGGTCTGTGCTTCCTCAAAACGAGGTGCCTGTGGTGGCATCGGAGGCAATGGAAGCGCCTGGAATCCAGTGTCCCGTGCTGAAGGATGCAGTATCTCACGGGCGAAGCCTTCGATGTAATCATCGACTTCTGGACTCGACCGCAGACGTGTAATTGGTTCTTGAGGTTGCTGATCAGGCCTGTCCTTCTGGGGGGCTTGCCATTGCTTCGCAAGGTGGATGCTGCCCCTCTTCTGTGTCGGTCCCATGTCGGCTGCGGGCGGTGAGCCATTATAATGGTATCGTGGGCATCCAAAAAGTGAGGAATGTGACGCTGAGAAAACCAACATGAACAACGTATTTAGGCCAGGAAAGAACGAACAGAAGTAGTTGGATACACAGGTAGATAGACAGATGAAGAGATAGAGGGACAGGTAGGGAAACAGTTGACAGACAGGCAGACAGGTGGGCAGGTAGGCAGGCCCATGTACCAAGCGTTCTGAATTTGCAAAACGAGCAGGGAAACACAAATGGATAGTTGAGCAGCAGCATCCGGCCTTCGCTCAGTTGTCGGTGACTGAGCGGAGGAAGTCCTTCCAATTCCGTCCTAAACCCTGATTCTACATGAAGTTGTAGCATCGCATACTACATAAGCGTATTTCCATGTGACTTACCGACTTGTAAAGAGAATCATACTTTGCTGTAGGCGCCTTGTATGAAAATGGCGCATCCGTGCGTCTTGGCCAAACTTTCTGACAACTTCAACAAAGAAGTCGGCTGGATCGGATCCTCTGAGTATATAGGTTGGGATGCTTGCAACAATAGTGGCGGTGAGAATGTTGACGTTTGTCCCGCTGCTAAGCAGGCACTGGTCTAAGAATCTAAGAAGCAAAGGCAGCATCTGGAAGAACTGCGAGATGCACTTAGCAAGCTGTCCGCCATTTCCATCGTCGCCGCCATGTCCAGAGCGCTGCCCTGTGCAGTGCCCATGCAGGATGACACGTAATTTGCAATCACATGCCCTTGCGTATGATCTCTCTTATGATCGCACTGTATAAGCTTAAGCGCTATAGCTTGACGCGTCTTTTCAACCTATAGAAGGGTTGGGCTGTCGAATGCTTCTAGACGGTATGAATCGAGAACCGCAAATACCGACGACTTTGGGGTTGGCGTTTGTATTTAAATTTTGTACCCGTGAGTGTGCGGCACCAAAATCCGACGTCCAGTTCCATGGTAGCTTCTCTTCATGCATCTATGCTAAGCACTTAGCGCTTACATAGTCGTTGAAAACTCTAACTAGTATGCAAGTGGTACTTGTTTAAACATTTACTTGATATCTGCAATATCGAACGCTATAACTGTGCCTGCACACCATCTCGGATCTTAACACACATGATATAATTCTAAATTATGCTCGTCGATTAACCCATTGCTAAACACATAAAGATGGATCATATTACAGTATATCCATCAATATTCGCCAAAGGTAATGTTCAGGCAGCTGCTATTGCCCGCACACGTAGTTGGAACTCAAGAACAAGATCAACGGTATGTAAGTTAAGTGATACTGGATCGATGGCACGAAACTACTCAGTGCTCACATGCATGTAGATGTTACTCCCTTAGTCCATTGCCACATGCATAAAAACTTGACAAATGTTTCCGTTCATCACAAGGGATGTTCAGGCAGCTGACATGGCATGCACATGTGGTTGAAACTCGAAAAACAAGATCAACCGTATGAGACTGATATTGCACCGATGTCAAGAAACAACTCAACGCTGGGATGTGCAAGACAAGTGGCATTTCCGCGACAGCTAGTCCGATATCTTTACGACCCTGAAATGGTAGACTTTGGTTCGACTGTTTCCTAATTACCGACATTCATGCAGCCACAGCCATCGTACCGCTGCTCTTCCATAAGAATGGAAAATTATGCGCCAGGCTCGAGCTACAGTCTGGCATTATGAACCCCAGCCCTTACAACTTGCGACCTCACCCGTGGAGAAAACGAGACCAAGACCAAGAACCGAGTTTTAGGGTTTATTCTGAATCCCAAGACCCATCAGCCCGGAACCCTTGATGTTATTATTACTATTATTATTACTATTACTATTATTATTACTATTATTATTATTATTATTACTATTATTATTATTGCTATTATTATTACTATTATTATTACTATTACTATTATTATTACTATTAGTATTATTTTTTTTGTTACTATTATTATTACTATTACTATTATTATTACTATTACTATTACTATTACTATTACTATTATTATTATTACTATTATTATTACTATTACTATTATTATTACTATTACTATTATTATTACTATTACTATTATTATTATTATTACTATTATTATTATTATTACTATTATTATTATTATTATTATTATTACTATTATCATTATTATTACTATTATTATTACTATTACTATTATTATTACTATTACTGTGATTATTACTATTACTATTATTATTATTATTATTACTATTATTATTACTATTACCATTATTATTATTACTATTATTATTACTATTACTATTATTATTACTATTACTATTATTATTATTACTATTATTATTACTATTACTATTATTATTCTTATGATTAACTCTAAACCCAAGCTCCGCATGCCTTGCGGGACATCGCTCCGGCCATGCTTCTCCGCACGTGACTGTGCGAGCAGGTGGCAACACTCTCTGCGTGCGATACGTGACAGTAGCCATATGTGGGAGTTTCCGAAAATGGGGTATCCTAATAGCACCCTAAATAGTAGCACCCTTGTTTTGAGGACCCCAAAATAAGGTACCCCTAATTTGGCAACTGAAGCATACTGAAACACAACACACCGACGGCCAGAATGGATTCCATAGCAAATGGGAAGGCAACAAATACAGAGGTTTTCCCAAGCACCCATGTCCCCAACGACCAGTCTTCCGAAGATGGCAGGAAAGCCAAACCAAGCCTACCACCAAAACAGTCTTCAAACACCGGCCAGCTTCAGCAACCCGCGACAGCTCAGATTTCGGGCAACGTTCGCTCCGTGTTACACAACTTCCAAAGCCCGTTCCAAGCTTAGCTGGAAACCGCAATGTGGGGATCTGCGAAGAACGAGCCTCTCGGGGCTGCTCTCAAGAACCTCCTTCGCCACCTGGCATGCGGCTGCAACTCTAAGGCAGGGGTATGTGGACTGCGTTTTTTTGGCACACGGAGTTGTCCAACTGGCACCCCATTGGCAAGGCACCTCAACGAAGCCAGACCTGGAGGCCAGATGAAGGGGCGTAAGATCCTGGGCTCGTAGCAGAAAAGAAAGACCCGGACACTTGAAGGCTGTGTTCTTGGGAATGTCCACAGCAACTTCAGGCAAACAGTGTTTCTTTGCCGGGGTCTTGCGGTAGAGTCGGGACACTCTTCGAATTTTTTAAGTTTGCTGTTACAGCCCCATATGGTTCATGTGAGCATAGTTTCAGTTCTTGACATCTCCACCGTGATTTTCCCTGTTCTGAACGGCTGTCCAGGGACCGTGTCGCAATTAATTGTACAACCAAGCGGCAAGCGGCGACATGACAACTTCATCAGCACACATCAGACACTTGCAGCATGCATCGATCCAACGCAGCTATATAACTATGTAGACTACTTGGGATCTCATCTCGCCTACGCCTACGAATATTCTTGTTGCGACAACTGGGAGTTAAAAAAAGCATAGCTTCAGCCATAGGAAGACCAAAACCCTCACCACGACTTGCAACAATGGATACCACGATTCGTCCTGCCATCTTTGCATATACTTTTTATACTCTCTATTAACTCTACTAATAAATCATTATTTTGTGAGCTGGGGTGCTTCGCCATTCCGTGCCATGCAGTCGGCGCGGGCGCGAATCAGCACCTGACAGAGGGCACAGAACAGGGTAGCTTTGGATTGCTGGGCTCCTGCATCGCAAGCCATGGGCAGGCTCTGCTTTACGCTCTCGCAGTCGGACCAGCCAAATCAGATTCTTGGTTCGCAACAAGGATCCTTTCAGGGTACACCTTCCGTCCCGATGAGTTGACCAAATCGGCTACCTTGAGGGTAATAGAAAGAATGTCATGACGCCACGAGACTCATGCCCTAAACTCAATCATTGAACCTGGAAGGTGAGAGAAAGAGGCATTGCTCTAACTCATGAGTGCTTGGCCGGTACTAGAATTAAGGACCAGCCGACACTCGTCAGCCCTGAGGTCTTTTAGCAACCCGGCGTAACCGAAGGTCCACAATCCTGTAGATACCAACACGTAGGCCGGACTTGGGCTGTCCTAGTTCGGCACCACCTCAGGTGACTGCTGGAAACACCCTGCAGCTGGAAATGGACGCCGCAGGAACTCACACAGCGCCCTCCCTTGCTGAGCTCAAGATCAGAACAGGGTCGGACTCATCCACTTACGGGACTTTGCAGGGAGTTGCATTGCCAGGTGAGGTGCTGCGCTTCAAAACGGCAGACAGCGTCATCGTCAAATCAAGGCTCAAGGACTTCCTGGGCTAAAGCTACTGTAGTTGCCACGCATGAATTCGGCTGTACCACGGGGGCCTTAATAATTAGAATAGGGTTTCGGGGTCTATTATACCATAATTATAATAAGGAACCACCAAATTAGTATAGGTAATCGTGTGTGACTTCTCCGGCCCTGGCTTTAAGCCCTCCGGCCCATCTCCTACACATAGGGTGACACGCAGGCCGTGTGCAGATGGTACTCCTGCTTCGTGTAGATGGCGAACCACCCAGGATCCTGGGCTTTTAAGTAACCAAGGGGAATAGAGTTATAAACTTTTTTCATAAGGGTTCCATTAAGAAAAAAAGTATTCAAGTATGGTACTCCAAAGCCCAGGATCGTTCCAGGCGGCAGTGGCGAAGCCGGCCTCTCGGAAGTGGCCCGTGACAAACCTGTAGTACTCGCGGACGAGATCGTTGTCCCTCTCTCCCTGACGCTCGGGCTGCCGGCCCACGCCGTACTCTCCAACATATACTGGGATGCCCGTGTCGAAGATATAATCGCGAAAGTCTCTGAAGATGTTGAGCAGACCTTTTTTCATGGCCCCGATCGATCCGTAGTAGTGAGGATTGCCGTTTTCGCTGCAGAAGTCGTAGGGATCATACGTGTGCACGGTGATGCCCACACAGGCATCGTTTCCACCTCCGGGAAGAGACCGCTTATCGGGGTACACTTGCCTGGCAGTGCCTATGCTCGACATGGCATTCGGGTGCACGAAGATCATTCGGTTCCTGTGCTCGAACCAGGGAGAAAAAATGTAAACTGTTGTCTTGTAATGGTTCCTTTAAGAAAAAGTTTAAAAAAGTAGTAAAGTATGATACCTCAAAGCCAAGGTTCTCGTGGCCGGGCACACGGCGCACAGCGTCGACTCCCATACCATTGATCTCGCGGGTGCGGTCGATCGCGTACCCTTCAGATGGATGTATAGGCTCGTTCCAGCCTCCAAAGTTAATGTGAGGCTCATTGAGGATCTCAAAGACCAGTTTGGTGGACCTGTTCGCGAAATGACCCGCGATGCCAGTCCACATGTTCCACCATTTGTCCTTGAGGTCCTGCCTAGCCGCATCATAGTGATAAGTCAGCCAATCCTCGTGATGGGAGTTAATGACCACATAAAGACCCAGGCTCAGGGCGTAGTCCACAACCGTGGTGACCCGCTTCGTGTGATCGGAGTTGGCATCGAAATAACCATCCCATTTCACGGGCAGGCGGATGTGTTTGAATCCCGTGTCGTGGGCCCATTTGACCTGCTGATTGACGACTTCCGGATTCGTATCGCCCTGATCGAACTCATAAACGTTTCCAATGTTGATCCCACGACCCATTCCTTCGATGATCCCGTCACAGTTCCCTCGTCTGGTATGATTCAGGACAGCGGCATCCCGTTGGACAGTAATCATCTTAGAGTGTGCCTGGCTTGCAGCTTGCTTCTCAGTGGCCGAGCTCCCACCCTCAGCAGCATCGTTGTGGACCTGCGTCTGGATCAGTGTCTCCACATCCGCGTCGGCTGCACAGTCATCGCCACTGCATGGAGTCGCCGCAAGCACCAAGGGGAGCCCGGTGGCGAGGATCTGCAAGAACTGTCGCATACTGTGTAGCAGCACTGCAGCAACTACAGGACGAGATTGGTCTGACTGGAACCGGTGAGCCTAAGCCAAAGGGCTCCGGTGTTGCAGAACTGTTCCACGGATGGGGTAGAATTCATGATGACTCTGCAACGCACGCTGCTCTCTATGCAGGTCAACCGCGACCTTGACGATATCGTCATAGCCCGCAACAGATGAGGAATGCAGTGCCGTGATCTGAGTTGGAGCAGGGCTTCTGTTGCCAAAGACCGTGCATGCACCAGCGAATCTGATCTGCGTTGTCGCAACGCAAGGTGACGGCTATGCGAAAGGCCTCTACAAATCAACATCTGAACTGTGCACGCCAACACCCGATACCGACTGCATGAGCAAACAGCCAAGGCTTCCACCCCATTTTGGTCTTTGTGGTTGATGTCTGCCCGACGCGTCGCCAGGAGTTCAACAACTTCTCGATGTCCCTGCACACCGTGGGAACTTATTTAATCAAGCCAGCTGAGCTGACGGAAGAGTCTTGCCGGTCCCTCCGCAAAGGTGGTTTCAGCTAGACCGACAGGGGCGATCTGTGCATTGCCTGGTGCGCCGCATTCTGCATTGCTGAACGCGAGTCGCGAGTGACAGCGTTGATGTTGGCCTGCACACAGTGCGCTCCACAACGGTCTTGATTTTTGCAGGACCCCTCCTCAAGCATCGAAGCGGAGCATGATCGGGAAATTGCCCTCCCTAGCACGCTTCTACCAAGTCAGTCTCCCGGTCGGCCTTCAGATCCAGCAGCATCTCGCACACATGTGCATGGCCATTCCGTGCTGCTTGATGCAGCGGTGTCAATCCGAATGTCGTCTTCACCTGCCCAGCATGACTCAATACTGAGGATGGCCACACTTACACCATCGACGAGGGTCGCATTCATTGTGCTGTAAGGCTCTCAAGATCTCTAAACCCTGAACCGCTGAGGCTGGACCGCTATCCGCTATCCATGATGTCTTGTTGTCAGAAAAGCAAGCCCAAGACTGATCAGCATGATTGAAAACAAGCAACGACAAACAGTGCAAACTGATGAGTCCCGAACCTTCACCCACCCACTCACACCAGCCTACTCACCCGCCCACACACTGACACACACTAGCACACACTGACACACAAAGACACGCAAGGACACACACTGACACGCACTAGCACACACTGACACACAAAGACACGCAAGGACACACACTGACACGCCCTGACACACACTGACACACCCACCCACCCACACCCACACCTACCCCCACCCCACCCGCACCCCCACCCCACAGCCGCCAAGCAGCCGCAGCCACACGCACACTCACGCGCTGGCACTGACACGCACTGACTCACACACACACACACACACAAACAAACACACAGACACACACCAAAAAAAAAAACGGAAACCCGAAGCCCTAAACCCTGTGCCAATCCATGGCCTCAAGCTTGGCTTTGCGACGCACCAGAGACGCCACGGAGTCTGCATGTCCGAAGTAGGCGGCGCAGTGCAGCAAATGCCAAGGAACCATGCGTGTACCTCGGATTGTCCAGGGCGTTAGTCTCGAACAACAGCCGTACGTTTGTGGCCTCGGTTCGGGCAAAGTGGTGCTGGTAGGAAGCCGTGACTGAAAGACCAACCTCTCAGGCCTTGTGAATACTTCACAAGCAGCATACCGGCAACAACAGGAGGAGCCACTCATGCACAAAAAGGAGCACAACTATGCCTGCGATCAAACGAGCGAACAGCAGTAGAAGTCGTCTTCTTGGTAGTGGTAGTGGTAGTGACCGGTAGTGGTGGAGACGGTGGTGGCGACCGTGGTGGGGGTGGCAGCAGCTGCTACTGGAGCAGCGGCAGGAAGCGGGAGCGGGAGCTGAGCAAGACCTCGCCGGGGAGGAGGAGGAGGTGACGAGGAACAGGCGCGACTGTTCTTCACAGGATTTGGTTTTGCTCGTCCAGTGGCCACTTTGCACTTCAACCTTCTCCTGGCAAACGTCGACCTTCCACTCCTCCATAGCACATGTCGCAGGAATGGGGTTTCAAGGACAAGGGGATCCACTGCTTGTGGTGACGCTGGTTCGAGAAGGGTCACATTGAATATAGAATTCGCAGGCCTCAAAGTCACTGTAGACAATAACACATAACATAACATAACATAATGCAATGTGATTTCAGCGCCCACGCTCGGACAATCCAGGCGAGGCATACGGTTCGAGATCGGCTGAGTGAGACTGCTACTATGTTTGAAAGTAGTTTAAGATAACATACAGGAACATACCATAACAACATGTACCATACTGTACTACATTAATTATACCCAACTATGCCATACTGTACTATGCTATAGTGTAAAGCATTATCGTATACCACACTATGCCATACTGTGCCGTTGTATACGATGATATGCGATCATGTACTGTAATCGACTCCAATATACCACTCTGCCCATGCAGCTGGGCTCTTAGTGTCATACTACTGCAAGCCTACGAATAATGTACTAAAATATGATGTACTATACCTAGCACAGTATCGTATAGCACCGTCTGGGAGCTTCCGAAAACTAGGGGTACCTTGTTTTGGGGTCCTTACAATAAGGATCCGACTATATTTAGGCGACTATGTTAGGGTCCCCTATTTTCGGAATCTCCCACATATTGCTATGACCCTAAAACCTAAACCCTATAACCCTATAACTTCAGAACACCGTCTAATGCCCAGATGAAGAGAACGCTCGGGGTCCTCGCTGAGACGCTGCAGCTCCGCCTCGCCGAAGGGAGCGCCGAGGCCGATGTAACCTCGAAGCTTCATGAAACTTGTACTTGGTGTGTGCGTCGACCCTCCCGAAAAATTTTAAGGGATCTGGGCCTGGGAGCCTCGCATATGATGATGACTGATGATGATGATGGTGATGATGATGTTGCGGCCCATGAACCTTGAACAAGCCTCGGAACCTGATGACATTGATGACAGATGATGACGATGAGGACTCCACGGGGCATGCTTAATTTTCCAAGCCTCGATGATGACTGGTTACCCTCAGTCAGGGAGTCTGTGTTCGACTGAATCTGCGACGGAACAAGACTCGCCGCAAGCAACCCAGCTCCCTGGGCTGAGACCTGTGCTGAGCCTGACAACCCAACGAACTATTCTACCTGGGAGCCTGGGAACCTAGGAACCGAACCTTTGCCGAGCCTCGTGATGATTGTCAGATTGTCATGTCACGGCACATGTCTCAGCCCAGCCAGGGAGGGAGTCTGGCGGCAGATCTTCAACCGCAGATGCATTCGGCAACAGTCGCAAAGCCGGACTGGTGAGGAGCAGCATCATCATATTATGATGATGTTTCTCCTAACCAGTCCGGCTTCCCGAGTAGCGGTTGAGAGCATGCCGAGCTTGCACACGCTCTCCTGCAGCCCGTGTCTGGGAACAGGCAAACAGGCAAAGAGTGTTAGTCTCCAGCAACCTTTTAGAAACTGTCAGACCAATCCGGCTGGACTACAGACAACTTGCAAGTCAACTCTACAAGCCCGTGGCACGCATATCCTCTGGGCCCCCTGGGCCTGGAAGCCTCGCATATGACTGATGACTGATGATGATGATGGTGATGATGATGTTGCGGCCCATGAACCTTGAACGGGCCTGGGAACCTGATGACATTGATGACTGATGATGGTGATGATGATGTTGTGGCCCATGAACCTTGAACGGGCCTGGGAACCTGATGACATTGATGACAGATGATGACGATGAGGACTCCACGGGGCATGCTTATTAAATTTATTTAAATTTATTATTGTAGCCTCGATGATGACTGTCATGCCACGGCACAGGTCTCAGCCCAGCTATTCTACCTGGGAGCCTGGGAACCTAGGAACCGAACCTTTCCCGAGCCTCGTGATGATTGTCATGTCACGGCACATGTCTCAGCCCAGCCAGGGAGGGAGTCTTGCGGCAGATCTTCAGCCGCAGATGAATTCGGCAACAGTCGCGAAGCCGGACTGGTTAGGAGAAACTTAATTAATTTCATTTGCGATTGCCGAGCTGAACCTGGAAGCCGATACGACACGGGCTGAAGGAGAACATGCCGAGCTTCGACACGCTCTCCTGCAGCCCGTGTCTGGGAACAGGCAAACAGGCAAAGAGTGTTAGAACCCAGCAACCTTGTGAAACCTAAAACTCTCAGACCAATCCGGCTGGACTACAACTTGCAAGTCAACTCTACAAGCCCGTGGCACGCATATCCTCTGGGCCCTCTGGGCCTGGAAACCTCGACTGATGACTGATGATGATGATGGTGATGATGATGATGATGTTGCGGCCCATGAACCTTGAACGGGCCTGGGAACCTGATGACATTGATGACTGATGATGGTGATGATGATGTTGCGGCCCATGAACCTTGAACGGGCCTGGGAACCTGATGACATTGATGACAGATGATGACGATGAGGACTCCACGGGGCATGTGTTAAAATTATATCTTTATTTAAAATTTAATTAGCCTCGATGATGACTGTCATGCCACGGCACACGTCTCAGCTGGGTTCAGACTCCCTGACTGAGGGTAACAGACTGAGCCTGGCAACCCAACGAACTATTCTACCTGGGAGCCTGGGAACCTAGGAACCGAACCTTTCCCGAGCCTTGTGATGATTGTCATGTCACGGCACATGTCTCAGCCCAGCCAGGGAGTCTTGCGGCAGATCTTCAGCCGCAGATGAATTCGGCAACAGTCGCGAAGCCGGACTGGTTAGGAGAAACTTAATAATTTCATTTGCGGTTGCCGAGCTGAACCTGGAAGCCGATACCACACAGGCATGCAGGAGAGCATGTCGATTCGACACGCTCTCCTGCAGCCCGTGTGGGAACAGGCAAACAGGCAAAGAGTGTTAGAACCCAGCAACCTTGTGAAACCTTCAACTCTCAGACCAATCCGGCTGGACTACAACTTGCAAGTCAACTCTACAAGCCCGTGGCACGCATATCCTCTGGGCCCTCTGGGCCTGGAAACCTCGACTGATGACTGAAGATGATGATGGTGATGATGATGATGTTGCGGCCCATGAACCTTGAACGGGCCTGGGAACCTGATGACATTGATGACTGATGATGGTGATGATGATGTTGCGGCCCATGAACCTTGAACGGGCCTGGGAACCTGATGACATTGATGACAGATGATGACGATGAGGACTCCACGGGGCATGCGTTAAAATTATATCTTTATTCTTTATTATTTATTATTAGCCTCGATGATGACTGTCATGCCACGGCACACGTCTCAGCTGGGTTCAGACTCCCTGACTGAGGGTAACAGACTGAGTCTGGCAACCCAACATAAACTATTCTACCTGGGAGCCTGGGAACCTAGGAACCGAACCTTTCCCGAGCCTCGTGATGATTGTCATGTCACGGCACAGGTCTCAGCCCAGCCAGGGAGTCTTGCGGCAGATCTTCAGCCGCAGATCCATTCGGCAACAGTCGCGAAGCCGGACTGGTTAGGAGCACGGCATGCAGGAGAGCCTCACGAAGGCTTCGTGACTCTCTCCTGCATCCCGTGAACCTGGGACGGCGGGGAACTCTGCCGCTTCCACACTGTCCTTCTCCAGCAACATTGTGACACCTAAAACTCTCAGACCAATCCGGCTGGACTGACAACTTGCAAGTCAACTCTACAAGCCCGTGGCACGCATATCCTCTGGGCCCTCTGGGCCTGGAAGCCTCGCATATGACTCAAATGACTGATGATGATGATGGTGATGATGATGTTGCGGCCCATGAACCTGGAACGGGCCTGGGAACCTGGTGACATTGATGATCGATGATGACGATGAGGACTCCACGGCGCATGCTTAATTTTCCAAGCCGTTGAGCCTGGACCTGCAATTGATGTTCCGCGTGCACGCCGTGCATTCCCCGCAGCATCAATTCGAACCAGGTGTTTCCAGTGGAAACACCTGGTTCGATTGATGCTGCGTGTGGCGCCTGGGGCCTGAAGTCTGTTGCTGCTCTGTTGCATGCACCGGCAGTGAACATCCACGGAACGGCCACCGGCAAGGTTTCCATGTCCCCAGACTCCCTGAGCGACTCTGCCACGGTCATCTGTCCGCCCTTAAAGGGTGGACAGATGACGGTGGCAGAGGCGAACCCAGGCGAACAACCATGGAGCCTGGCAGCAACCTTAAAATCTTAAATATTGGGAGCCTGGGAGCCTGGGAACCTATGACTAGGAACCAGTCTCAGCAACTCAGGCCACAAAGTCGGAGCGTCGGCTGGCGCCGGTGTGGGCACCAAAGCAGCCTGGCAACACGGGGAGCGACTGGGTTGCCTATCAGCAGTGACAGTGAAATTACATCATCCAGGGTCCTTTTAGGTGGGATGTTGGGCACCCACGAAGCAACCCTTCAATGCATAGAAAAGACCCTTCAATGCAACTTTTTTGAGAATCAGCGCGTTCAAGGGTCACAAGGTTGCATCCAAGGGTCCCTCAAAGACTAAGATGCTGCTGGATGTTGGCTGGGCACCCACGATAAAACCCTTCAATGCATCCAAAAGACCCTTCAATGCACCTCTCTTAAGAATCAGCGTGTTCAAGGGTCAAAAGGTTGCATCCAAGGGTCCCTCAAAGATGCTGCTGGATGTTGGGCACCCACGATAAAATTCCTTCAATGCAACTTTTTTGAGAATCAGCGCGTTCAAGGGTCACAAGGTAGCATCCAAGGGTCCCTCAAAGATGCTGGATGTTGGGCACCCACGATACAACCCTTCAATGCATCGAAAAGACCCTTCAATGCACCTCTCTTAAGAATCAGCGCGTTCAAGGGTCAAAAGGTTGCATCCAAGGGTCCCTCAAAGATGGCTGGATGTTGGGCATCCACGAAGCAACCCTTCAATGCTTTAGGGTTTAGGGTTTAAGGTTTAGGGTTTAGGGGTTTAGGGTTTAGGCTGGTTTAGGGTTTAGGGTAAAAGACCATTTCAATGTACCTTTTTGGAGATTCAGCGCATTCAAGGGTCACAAGGTTGCATCCAAGGGTCCCTCAAAGATGCTGGATGTTGGACACCCACGAAGCAACCCTTCAATGCATCGAAAAGACCCTTCAATGCACCTTCTCGGAGATTCAGCGCATTCAAGGGTCACAAGGTTGCATCCAAGGGTCCCTCAAAGATGCTGGATGTTAGTAGGCATCCACGAAGCAACCCTTCAAGGCATCCAAAAGACCCTTTAATGCACATGTTTTAAGAATCAACGCAGTCAAGGGTCACAAGGTTGCATCCAAGGGTCGCTGACTGTCAAGCCATTATGACCGCCATGTACCAGACCCTGCACTCAATCAAGTCAGGCTGGCCAGACGGATGTCGAGATTTCGGGCGCCAACTGCAGCAACACCACTTCCTTGCCATTGTCAGTACAAAGACCCTTTAACTTCAGCAGAAGTTTCAATAGACCAATTGCATCCAAGGGTCTTTTTAAGCGGAATGTTGGGTACCCACGAAGCAACCCTTCAATGCATCAACAAGACCCTTCAATGCACCTTTTTGAGAATCAGCGCGTTCAAGGGTGACAAGGTTGCATCCAAGGGTCTTTGTAGTAGGGATGCGGGATGTTGGGCGCCAACGATACAACTCTTCAATGCATCCCAAAGACCCTTCAATGCACCTTTATTGAGAATCAGCGCGTTCAAGGGTCACAAGGTTGCATCCAAGGGTCTTTGTAGGCATGCGGGATGTTGGGCACCCACGAAGCAACCCTTCAATGCATCGAACAGACCCTTCAATGCCCCTCGGAGAATCAGCG